AAAAACAACAACAGTACAATATATACTCTGCAAAAAAGGAAAGGCAAAGTGATTTCAGATGTTTATTTTATATTTCATATAAATAATTAACACATATTAATCGATTGTTCAAAATTGGTAAATATCATTATTGTCTTTGGCCCAGGTTCCACGTGGCACACGTGGAGCAGTAGATATTCAATGTGAAGATCATCTGTTCTCAGTATGATTTATGGCCACCATTAGAGTCCAAAACTGACCGGCTTTGTCGTCCCATGGAAGCAATCAATTGTGGTTGTGATTCCTGAAAAAGGCTGTTGTCAGTCTTGCCGTGTGAGGTTGGACGTTGTCTTGTTGGAAAATGATGTTCGCTTGATGCACAGTAGGAAGCACCTGTGGCCGAAGAATTTCATCCGTGCAACGGTGTCCCGTGAAACCGAGTCTGTTCTACCAGTGTAGGCCGCCCACATCATCACACTACCACCACCGAATCTGTCCACTTCATGTATGCAGTTACGGGCATGTTCCCCGCGATGCCTGTAAACACGACGTCTACCATCTGCACGTCGAAGCCGATGATGCAGATCTGTCAAAATGACAACTCGAACTGGCCACGAATACCTTCAGAGCGGATATTGTTCCTCACTGTCAAGGCTGATATCCTATCCTGGTATTGTCGTATTTGTAGAGGTGACCGTGGTGGTTCTTCAACTTAAGTGACGTGGTCACGTGGATCCGTGCTCTAGTAGTGATATGTTGTCGACCGGATCTGGTTGTCCCGTGTTGTCCCATATGTCTGATAACGATTCCTCAGTCGTGTAAGGGTGATTGGTGCTATGTTGAAAAACCTGGCTTCAGCTGAAGATGATTCTTCTGTTTGATGTCAGCCAATGTCGTTGTTGCGTTGGGCTTCCGTCAGTCGTGGCATGTTTTCGCTTTTCACTTATGGTAAGATTGTGATGGCATGCAAATAAAAACAAAACGTTTTAATAGCCCAACAAGTGATGTTGCACGTGCAATCATGTTGATGTGTTTCGGCGCTCGGCCCTCGCGTGGTTGTGTTTTTGCCATCTTTCCATCTTTTCACCATAATTCATTTTTGGTATTTATTTGGTATGGATAGCCACAACACTCTGTAAGATGTTACTACTTTTGCTTTTCTTTTCTTTTTTGCAGTGTATAATTTTGTTGTATTGGTGAAGACTCAACCTTGTTATGGCAACAACAATCAATGCTCAGCAAAACTGGCTCTATAGACTGAGTTGCCTTACAGTTGAAGCAATAGATATTTTGGCTTTGACCAGCCAAGGGTTAATGGTTGGTTGGATGGTTGGTTTGTTGTTTAAGGCCGCAATATTACAGCTTTATGACGGCGGTCTGTAAATACTCGAGTCTGGACCAGACAATCAAGTGATTGACATCATGAGCATCGATGCACGTAATTGGGATCGATGACCTGCATCAACCAAGTCAGCGAGCCTGACCATCCGATCCCGTTAGTCGCCTTTTATGGCAAGCATGGGCTGCTGAAGACCTATTCTACCCCGGAATCTTCACGGGTCCCAAGGGTTAATGGACATACTAAACAAAATGCTGGCCTCCTGTCCACGGACAGTTTAACCCTGCTTAAACTTGTTTCACCATAAGCTTTCGATACAATAAAGGCCAAGCCTTCTTACAACATCACCTTATGTTGCTCGAACCGTTGCTGTTTGGGTTTCCATGGTAACCATATAAGGAAAGCCTACATTTTACCATTGCTCCTCAATGTATGCAGATCATTCAATGAAATGTGGTGGCAGGCTAGTTTGCAGTGGGGTCTAAGGTAGACTCTTCCACCTTTGCACTTTAATGGCTGCATGGATTCTGAAAAGTAGTTGTTTAACATCTTTGATTTTTTAATTTAGGCTAAATTAGTAAATTATACATTTCTGATCCACTTCAACCTTGTGGAAACAAAAATCTCTACGACACAGGAGTTGATTGATGATGAACAAACTTGAATAAAATTATATCATTCACACAAAATTCCAGCTTTCTGTGTCTGTTGGTTTTTGAGAATATGATTTTTCACGTTTTTGTTAAATTCAATTTTAAAACAGCTTACGACAAAAATATGACATTGAAAAAATCAACTATTTGAAGTAAATATTATGTCATCATAAGAAGGAGCATGCATGTCAAATGTCAGTTTCAATGCTCCAGAAGTTTCACAGGAGCTGTCTACAGAGCTGAGAATGCCTTTTGTGACAATTTAAGGTGAGGTGACGTAAAATGAGGATTATTGCACTTAGATATCGATAGTTAATTTAAGGACGTGGTAAAGGTGATATCAAGGTCAATGTATCAAATATCGGAATCAAGAAACACTTCTAGCTCCAAATACACCATATTTTATTACATTTGGTCAAAAGACGGCCACATTATGGTCTTTAATTGGGGTTGATATGGCTGCCATGGCATAGTTGGTTTCAGCTTCAATTGTCCATTGGTTTCTGATGAGATGACCCCATGCTGCTGCTGCTGTCGACGGACACTGGACAAGCAAGTCAGGACATCAGCTCACTTGACTTTTAGCGAAGCATGACAAGTATTATGGCAGAAATCAACAGTCTTGATACTCTCAATTGATGTTTATTGTCCGTTGTTCCTTGACAATAATAAGTGAAAAGCTCATTTGTTTGGATCTGTTAACATGCTTTTCCTTTGAACGTTAGCGTTTAATGAACAGTGTTGAGTTTCAAGAAACTAGAAAATAACGAGAAAATGTGCTAAGTTACAGTGTAAACAGTGAATTGGCTAAGTTGTTACAAATACAAAATTCTACAAATATTATATCATTTGAAGATAGATGATAGCTTCAACATTACTTTAGATGTAAACACATTGTATAAATATGAAGAAGCAGGTTATAAACTTACATCTGTGTTCTGCAATAGTTCATGACATGTTTCTCCAACATGGAGACCTTTCAAACTGAAGGTGACAGTGGATGAGGTCACATGACTAATCCCATGATGCAACACAACTGATTATAAGTCAGAAAAACTGGGACCGAACCCTGGACCTTTATGCTGCTAGTCCAGTGACATAACCAACAGACCATTGTTAAGGCTGATATAGGTACATGAAATTAATAACATTTTTGCATAACAGATTTGCAACATAAATTATACATTCTGCACTAACAACAAGCTTCAGTGTCATTAGTGCAGTAGTATTTTAAGAGTAGGCGATGTTTGGAGGGAAAATTCCATTTCACACAATTGTGGTCAAATCATGGTCAAAACTTAAAATATTGCAAAAAAAAAGTTATTTGTTGACTAATTCTCACTACACACATACCACACTCAATTCCACGTTGAAGTAAAATGGCTGCATAATCGCCATAAAAGAGTTTGAAAAATGACTGCCATTGATTAAAACCTCTTGAACAAATTGGGGTGTCATCATTTCTGGAGACATGCATGCAGTACAATGTTTTAGTATTAGAAGACCATTTTGACAGACAAAGGACAAGCAGGCCACGACATAGGCTCCTTTGACTTTTAGTCAGGTGAGCTCAACATCATGCCTTAAAAAAGGAACATGTATTTTGAATTAAACTCAACAAATACCAATTTTACAATTTACCAATTGGTACAGCAATGTCCATAAATATGGTGGCTGTGGTGGTGATACTGAAAATCAGATTCGAAAGTCTCGGGCACTTTTGAAAGAATTTAAAAGCATGGTCAAAAAGCAAAGATCAAATAAGGATCAACATTTAAAATATCGCCCAAGGAATAAAAAAACATATGAGGTGAGTCTAACTTTTAACTACACATGTACCACATTACAATTTATTTTTAACAAATGTGGTTGCTCAAATGGTCAAGTTTCAGCTTCATAGGTTCAGTGGTTTCCCAAGAGAAGATGTTTGTGATGGACAAAGCATAACGGACAGGAGACAAACAGGATACGACATGACTCAACTTTCAGTCAAGGGGAGCTAAAAACGGGTATATGATGGTAAAAGGTCGTAGCTAAAACAAAAATCAAATTATCCGGATGACATAGCTCACTTTTGTGAATTTCAGTCAGGTGAGTTAAATATCTACAGAATTTTTTGTATTGTGACAGTTACATTATAATTCTCTCATTCATCCCTTTGCTGTGTTATTATTAAGAAATGGTTAATCATGTTCATGTCATTAGTATAACATATAACGTTGTCTGTTACCTGCAAGTCATGCCACCTCTCACTGAAGCACAATGGAAGCGAGAGAATTGCAAGAAGTTGGAGTAAGGGTATTCAGTTTGTATCAGAGCACATCTCCAGACTTGACTGACCCAGGTCAGGCGGGCACAGGACTTCATACAGCTGTACGTCATTTGTCTCAGAGATAGATTGCCTATCAGAGGTGCATAATCATGCATAATCATCATCAACTGAGACATCAGAGCTGTTGTTTTCATGAAACATCATCATCATTTGAGACATCAGAGGTGTTGTTTTGATACAATATCATCATCAACTGAGAAATCAGAGGTGTTGTTTTCATACAACATCATCATCAACTGAGAAATCAGAGGTGTCAAGCACACACAGTATTCTCTAATCAACGATGGCAAGATGCTAGGATCTTTCTTCATGAACGATTTGCAAACAAATGCGTAGAGGAGGTTTTGTGGTGGCAATGTGTTCATGTAGTCAAAAATCTCCCATTGAACTTACATAATCACAATGAACAGGCCCTCTAATTTGAAAGATGTGAACCCAACACAACACATTGTTGGGTTGGATTGCTGTCTATGTCTATCCTAAACCACAGACACTGCAACAGCTTGTTAAACTTCCTCAATGTGTAATCCTCATTTCATTCACATACCAAATTAATCTAAATATCAATATCTATCTTCCCTTGCACTGTGAAGCAAAATGAGTTTACAATTCTCATATATTTTAACTTTTGCAAGAATGTCTAATCCTGCTGGTTTATCACTGGGTGTATCACTGCCGGGGGCACCTCTACTGGGTGCTACTGTACTGGGTGTACCTCTACTGGGTGCACCTCTACTGGGTACAAGTCTACTGGGTGTACCTCTACTGGGGGCATCTCTACTGGGGGTATCTCTACTGGGTGCACCTCTACTTGGGGCAACTCTACTAGGAGCACTTCTACTGGGTGTACCTCTACTGGGTTTACCTCTACTGCTGTACCTTTACCGGGTGCACTCCTACTGGGTGTGCCTCTACTGGGTGCACCTCTACTGGGGGCAACTCTACTAGGAGCACCTCTACTGGGTGTACCTCTACTGGGTTTACCTCTACTGCTGTACCTTTACCGGGTGCACTCCTACTGGGTGTACCTCTACTGGGTACAAGTCTACTGGGTGTACCTCTACTGGGGGCATCTCTACTGGGTGCACCTTTACTTGGGGCAACTCTACTAGGAGCACCTCTACTGAGTGTACCTCTACTGGGTTTACCTCTACTGCTGTACCTTTACCGGGTGCACTCCTACTGGGTGTGCCTCTACTGGGTGCACCTCTACTGGGGGCAACTCTACTAGGAGCACCTCTACTGGGTGTACCTCTACTGGGTGCACCTCTACTGGGGGCAACTCTACTAGGAGCACCTCTACTGGGTGTACCTCTACTGGGTTTACCTCTACTGCTGTACCTTTACCGGGTGCACTCCTACTGGGTGTGCCTCTACTGGGTGCACCTCTACTTGGTGTACCTCTGCTGGGTGCACCTCTGCTGGGTGTACTGTATGCACCTCTACTGGATGTAATGGGTGCAACTCTACTGGATGTACTGGGTGCAACTCTACTGGGTGCACCTCTACTTGGTGCAACTCTACTGGGTGCAACTCTACTGGGAGCACCTCTACTGGGTGAACCTCTACTGGGTGTACCTCTGCTTGGTGCACCTCTACTGGGTGTACTGTATGCACCTCTATTTGGTGTACTGGGTGCAACTCTACTGTGTGCACCCCTATTGGGAGCACCTCTACTCGGTGCACCTCTGCTTGGTGCACCTCTACTGGGTGTACTGTATGCACATCTACTGGGTGTACTGGGTGCAACTCCATTGGGTGCACCTCTTCTGGGAGCACCTCTACTGGGTGCATCTCTACCGGGTGCACCTCTCTGGGTGGACTGGGTGCACCTCTACTAGATGTACTGAGTGCACCTCTATTGTATGAACTGGGTGTATCTCTACTGGATGTACAGGATTACTGGGTGCTCTTCTACTGGGCGTAATTGGTGCACATTTACTTGGTGCACCTCTACTGGATGTACTTGGTGCACCTCTACTAGGTGTACTGATTGCACCTCTACTGGATGTACTGGGTGAACCTCGATTAAGTGTACTGGGTGAACCTCTACTAGGCGTACTGGGTGTACTGGTCGCACCTCTACTTCTAATGGTTGCACCGGGTGCATCTCTGCTGGGTGTACTGAGTGTATCTCTACTAGATGCACAGGATGTACTGCATGCACCCCTACTGTGTGTACTGGGTGTACCTCTACTGGGTGTACTGAGTGCATCTCTACTGTCTGTACAGGATTACTGAGTGCTCCTCTTCTTGGTGTAATGGGTGCACATCTACTGGCTGTACTGGGTGCACCTATACTGGGTGTATATCTGCTGTGTGTACTGGGTGCTCCTCTACTGGGTGTACAGGGTGCACATCTACTGAGTGTACTGGATGCACTTCTACTGGGTGTATCGCTACTGGGTTTACTGGGTGTTTCTCTACCTCTACTAGGTGTATATCCTCTGGGTGTACTGGGTGCACCTCTACTGGATGCACCGGGTGCACCTCTACTGGGTGTATCTCTGCTGGGTGTACCTCAACCTCTACTGGATGTACTGGGTGTACCTCTACTGGGTGTACTGGGTGTTTCTCTACTGGGTGTAATAAATAAACAGCATAATGGCACAATGGCTAGTTAATCTTTTCAATTTCAATTTTAACGCATTATCAGCATTAAACTTAGTCACAGTCAGTAAAAACATGAATGAAGACATCAGAGACCAAAAGAACTTTTATTGTACACAGAGCTAAATTATTAACAAAAACTAAGGATTTCACAGTGCATAGGCAAAGAAACAACACGTGCAGTGCAGAACAGTTATGTTTATTACCTAATTAACCTAAATATCAATTTCTATCTTCCCTTGGACTGTTAAGCAAGATGAGTTTATAATTCTTATATATATCAACTTGAGCAATGATGTCTCATCCTGCTGGTTTATCACTGGATGTATCACAGCCGGGTGTACCTCTACTGTGTGCAACTCCACTGGGTGCAATTCTACTGGGTGGACCTCTACTTGGTGGACCTCTACTGGGTGCACTTCTACTGGATGTACTGGGTGTAAAAGGGTGTACTTGTTACTCCTCTACTGGCTGACTGTGTGTACCTCTATTTGGTGTACCTCTGTGGGGTGTACAGGGTGTACTGGGTGCACATCTACTGGGTGTCCGAGTCGGACATCTACCTCTACTGGGTGCACTAGATGTATCTCTACTGAGTGTACCTCTATTGGGTGTACTGGTCGCATATCTACCTCTAATGGGTGTACTGGATGCACCTCTACTGGGTGTACTATGTGCATCTCTACTGAGTGTACTGGGTGTACCTCTGTGGGGTGTACTGGGTGTACAGGATGCATCTCTCTCCTGGATGTAACTCTACTACTGGGTGTACTGGGAACACTTCTATCTCTACTGGGTGCACCTCTACCTCTAGTAGGTGTATCTCTTCTGGGTGTACCTCTACTGGATCTACTGGGTGTACCACTACTGGGTGCACCTCTACTGGGTGTACCCCTACTGGGTGTAACACTACTGGGTAGATCTTTACCTCTACTGTGTTTACCTCTGCTTTGTGTACCTCTATTGGGTGTACGTCTACTGGGTATACTGGGTGTATCTCATCCCCATGTACTGGGTGTACCACTACTGGGTATATCTCTACCTCTACTGTGTTTACCTCTGCTGGGTGTATCACTGCTGGGTTTACCTCTACTTGGTGTACCTCTACTGGGTGTACCCATACTAGGTGCACCTCCACGTGTGTAATACATGTGATGTATATGTGTAAGCATACCATGCAATATTAATTATTAGCATTTACTAGTTCAGTCTGGGGTACTTTGCAGGACACGTCTGGTTGCTTAGGTGACATAACAATACATGTGAGGATCAATTGTCATGGTTTGAACATCATGTGTGCAGTCTACAGATAGGATCAGCATAATCCTCTCATCATGTCATGTCACCGTATGCATCAAAATTACCGACAATGTGTAACATGACTTTAACCCTTCCACCTCTCCTTAGATCACAGTCATATACTGGCATATGCTCTCTGCTGGATGTACTTTCACCAGTACCCCTTCCACCTCTCCTCGGATCACAGACATATACTGGCATATGGTCTCTGTCTTGATGTACTTTCACCGGCAACCCTCCCACCTCTCCTTAGATCACAGTCATATACTGACATATAGTCTCTGCTGGATGTACTTCACCTGCACCCCTTCCACCTCTCCCACACCCGGCAGAATGGCCTAGGTAACATAAACACATTTAACCAGGATCACCAGCACAAGGAAAAACATTCTCCATATGAAATGTAAATCAACACACCATGCACTTACAAAGCCATTGTCCTAAATCTGCCAGATGACAGGATTAGAATCAAAAGAAGTTTGCTTGTAGTTTTATGCAACAACAAGATTCTAGCTATATCACAAGGACCTTTAAACAATCACGTGCTGCACATAAAATAGTCTAACCTGAGGTAAAAATTGTCAGCATTATGTTTAGAAACAATTAGATTAGAGAATTACACATGTCAAGCTCAGAGTATTCTTCCTCTGTTTGGCTTTGCAGAAATAACAATCTTTTGCAAAACTCTCACTATTATATATTATGTCACGAGAACACCAATGATAAGATTCTTTGTCTCTTATCAGTGTTAGTCCTTTCTTCTTCTTGTACTCAATTATACCTCACAAATTCATTTAAAAGTACAAATAGTATTGGCAAATAATATAATTTCAATGATGACTCCATGGGTGTTGATGAATACCCACCAATCATTGATTTTATAGGCTAAATGGAACTAAACTAGAAGACATTGTGGTTTACCCAAGCGAGTCACAAAACTGACAATGACACAGCAGTAGACATTACAGAGAGCATGTGGAGGCTTTGAAAATATTGATTGTTAAATCCAATACACATGTATTCCTTGTATGCACAAGTATATCCATGTTGGGACGATTAAATATAGATATCCATTTCAAGGTTGGTAATAAAAACTTATACATGCTCTGGGTGTAAATGCTTTGTTAGGGAAAATGTAGAAAAACAAACCTGATCTACATTGGACATATTCAATGTAACGAGAAATCCTTCAGTCAACTTGGATTGAGTTGTTTAACCCCATATATATTATTACTTATCACCAGCTTTCAATTTGTCAACATTCATCTACTACTCATTAATGTGTACATGCCAGTCAAAATGGACCAGCTCCAAAACAGGTTTGTACATGAACTTCCATTGTTGAATGAGATGTATGCGGCCCCTTATTAAATGACCTCACCAATAGCCATCTATATTCTTCTTTGAACCCTAAAGTTGTCCAACGCAGTACAATTCAGTCCTACGCCTCTAGCTTCCCTACTAAGAAGTTCTAAGCACATAAAGTTTTATGATGTCATTTTGGGATTTAGGAAAAATATACCCAATGCAATGCAACTTTTTGAAAAAGAAGGTTCTTTTCTTCTAGCGACCTTAATAACTAGTAAAGCCTTATGGTGCCACTTTGCTATCATTAATTTATAATTTGTAATCGAAATTTCGAGTTCTTTCTTGTTACTTTAAATTAGTTCTCGTTATTTTGATTATTTACTCATTATTTCAATTATTTTCTCGAAATAAAGATTTTTTTCGCGTAAATTCAAATTAATTCTAGTTATTTCAAGTTTATTTAAAAAACTCAAAATTTCAGGTTTTTTCTGGAAAATAAACAAATAATTGAATTTACAAGAAATTTTGATTTAAAAAAAATATATGCAACCAAAGTGGCACAATCAAGCTTTTCGGAAATAGCAAAGTGGTTTATGATATCATTACTTCAAATCTGGGGAGATCTTGTGATGATGATGTTGTGAGGTTAGAATAGCAGCCTATGCTGGTCATAAACATAATATATACCTCACAAGAGTGACAGGACACACAGCAGACAACCAATCCATGATTGTCAGTTAGGTGGGCTACAAACTTTTGTTTCACTTTTAGCTTCACTGCAAACATGTGGTGGAATTCTACTAACCACTGGGTCATTTTCATTAGAAAAGTATGGCATTTTGGTTGGATTTTCAGTCCATTGAAAATTTTGCCACAAACCTAGAATTGCCATTCGGCAGTAGAATTGATGCCACTCCGAAACATAACAAAATTCACACTGAATGGCCATGAGTCTTTGGCTACTAAGATCCGCTGCTCTCCAACTTTTGTTCCACTTCCCACCCTCAGGGTCTTGTCAGCCCATTGCAGCCAGACATGTTTTAAAGTAGTACAGTCAAGTATACTGATCTCCCTGTGAGCCAGGGTGACAGGAGGTCTGTTTGGCCAGATTTTCTTGATGGACATCTCTGTGACGTTTCCCCTTTTGAGTCCAATGTCAATGCGATACAAGCGTCTGTTTGTCTCAGCCAGTGCCAGGAGTGCAGAATGACATGACTTCACCTTCAGCCGCAAGGTCATGCTTGGCGGCACAGAGAAGTCTGATGGTGATGGCTTCATCCAAGATTTGGCGTCAGATGTTTCAAGTCTCGTAGAAAAGTCTGAAAAGTGAAAGCATGTACTGACCAAATCTCTGAACAGTAAGATGAAGTAGTGAACATCCAAAGTAACTTCAGGCAATGGTTAAATGAGTAAATATATTGTCAAAACACTCTTAAATATCTGGAATATCTTAAGTTGGTTTACAACTTTTGGGTCTCAACCGTAAGTTTGTTAAAAATATTAAAAACAGCTATCAAATATATATTTTGTCCATTGTGAAAAGATACGGTCGATAGGTATAAAAAAAACTTAAAAATAAATACGAATTGTAGCCTAGTGGTTGAAGTGTTTGCTCGTCATGAGGAATGCCTGGGTTTGATTCCACATATGGGTTCCAGCATGCAAGGTTGATAGGGTTGTTATTTCATGAACGTGAATGGTTCAAATTCGGGAGTGTCAGCTCTACATGCTGACAACTGTCTGATCTTAAAAAGTGAAGCCATCCAGCTACTCTGGTTTTTGAATGTCTTCATCTGAGAGTGTCATGCTTGAAATGATAACACGTTGTCTGAGCCAGATATGCGGTTGTGTCGATTTACCCAAAAATCGAACAGCATTAACACCACTAAGATGAAGACCTGATGGTTTGTTGAGGACTGTATGATCTATAGAAAATCCATCACATTGAAGAACTGAGATAAGGGCAGACCTGTATCCTTTGATGGGGATGTGATGGAACTTGGCATCCAGGGTGCCATGGTACAAATCGATCTCAGTGCAAAGGTGATTGTAAATCCAATACATTAGCATAGGCTTATGACCGTTACAGCGCTAAGGCTGTTTTGTACAACAGCATCCTGGTGAAATGCACCACCATAGGGATATTTATAGGTACCCTCACTCCTTTGCTATTGCCACAATCTTTGCCATTTACAGAACTTCAATCTGTTGTAGATGGTGGACAAATGGTCTCCATGTGCCACTAATGCTAAGATGGTTTTGGAGTAACTAGAAGCTTGCATCTTATGATTGATAACTTCCAGGCATTATGATGAAGGCTGTGTTTACTGCCTTACATGATGTATGATCAGGGTCTGCGGAGAAGATCTCGCATTCCAGTAGTTTGTCCAGGTGCCGCGGAAACAGTCTGGGAAACCATGGCCGAGCTTGCCACACCAGTGCCACGAGGATGATCAAGCAGACTGTGTCCTCTATCTTCATTGCATCTAAGAGAGACCATGGCGGGAAGGCATTTGTAAACATCCCCATCCAGTCCATGGATAATGGATAATGTGCCTACTTGGAGAACAAGTCCAGGTGAGTTGTGTCCCACACCGATGTTGTCCAATGTAATATTTCCAGGCGAAGAAACCATCCCGTAGCTACTATCTTCCCTTTACATGATAAGCTGCCAGCAAAGATGTTGAGCTTCTCCAAGTATAATGACAAGATGTCGGCTGCAGTTTTTCCAAACGTTTGTTTGGTTTTGATAATTGTATTGCTTAAATGGGCGTACGTTATCGTGCAAGCAGCAGTTTTCAAACTGGCTGGTTTATGAGGACGTATATTAACTTACCTTGTCTGCAGGTCCTGTTGTCCTTTTGAAGTGTGGAGTCTGATACACAAAAGCAAATTCGTTTGGTTTGATTGAGGGGGTAACACCCTTGACTACAGTCGTTTCTTTTTCCACTGCATATATTAACAACTGAAAAGAAAAAGTGTTTAAGCATAAAGATGAAGTAAATTGTTAAGGTGAAAAAACATCTGATGTGCTGAGGTTAACTTTCATATTGGTTTGGACCAGAGCAGCCTGAGGTGTTGGTTTAGCTATGGTAAGTTCTCAAGGTGACATCTTCAAACTAGACAGTTAAAGGGTTTTTGCAAGTCCTTGTCCTGGAGGCCAGGGGGGTTAACATTGCATCAAACTATCTGAAAGCTTGGCCACCATAATCAATTGTCAATAAAAATATTCTTGGCTGTTATGATGCTGTACATCTTGTGTGTGTGTGTGTGCGTGCGTGCGTGCGTGCGTGCGTGCGTGCGTGCGTGCGTGCGTGCGTGCGTGCGTGTGTGTGTGTCTGTGGCAGCTTGTACTAGTCTGGACTGATACCGATTTATAGTGCTAGCTCACTGAGATACCATGCCGGAGTTTAACAGGAATACCCCACTCAGACACAGTATACTGACTCCGAGCTGAACAGTCCTTGTTTTAACCCCCTAATACCAAGCGTCAGATAGGGTAACAACAAGTACCATCTTTTCACGTCTTCCGCTCTCCGGGTGGACGCTCTAATTCTGACCACTACCACTAGACCACGGAGGCGGTCTGAATCACACAAAGTAGTACATACCTGACCTTATATATTTGCATATTTATAAATAATGACCCCAATGGAAACAGTATTTATCTGCTGGCTTTATCCTGCTGAGAAACCTACCCTTTTCATGAGTAACCAAATCTCCGCTGGTGTCCTCATGTCGATGACACTGAGTGTGTGCAACACCGAAGTGACAAAACTATCTTGGGACGAAGAATAATACAAACAGTATTTTATATCTGAATAGTACATGCAAAAACCAAGCTCCTTTGTTCAAGAAAGTCATCATGCGTATGTTGATGCAATCTATCAAAGTTTATGGTGTCAATACAAACAACACTCACGGCTTGGATCATCCGTTGTGTTGACCAGTCGCACCCTTGTGACAGAGAATGGCAGCACATATACAGCTGCCCTTGCACTCAGGTCAGAATTTACTCGCATCAGCCTGAAAACAATGGTAGTCAGTGTCATATAAGTAAGTATCCTTATAATGCATGGTGAATGAGGTATTTTACAATTGTATAACTACCCGACCCCACAAATACAAATATTAGGTAGATAAAAACATATACCAGTAGTTCTGACATGTGTAGTAAGCCCTAACTGGCTTGCCAGTCATTTTGCAACAACAATAGTGGCCAGACACAGTCATAATGTAACAACAATACTGGCCAGACAGAGTCATATTGTAACAACAATACTGGCCAGACACAGTCATAATGTAACAACAATACTGGCCAGACACAGTCATAATGTAACAACAATACTGGCCAGACAGAGTCATATTGTAACAACAATAGCATCCCGGCTACTGGAGAATTACAGGTCAGATGATTAGAACTCATCTACGTGCAACACCTCTCCACCTGCTTAGCCGCCCGTTACAAATCGTCACATTGCCAACAGATGTCGATGGTACACATATCATTAAAACTGGGGTAATCGTCGCTGGTCATGTGTCATGTTTCCAGATGAGTCCTGAATCACTTTGCCCCTCCATGATACCTGTGGTCGTTTTCTGGTAAAGTCGAAACGAAGGTCAAGCCAATGTCAACCTGAGACCTCATGACACTTTTGGTGTTGGATCGGTTATGATGTAGGGTGGCATCAATATGACATATTGAGTAAGCAAGGGCCACTGGACAGTACTATTATGACAACATACTGACACCCTTTGTTGCAAGGCACGTTGGTCAACGTTTTATCTTTCAGGACAACAATGCCCAAATTCACCGTGCACCAATATTCAATGCTCACTTCCAGCAGCACAACATCTATTGAATGCCAGGGTCAACGATGAGCCCAGACATCTCCCCCATTGAACACACCAGGGACATGATTGGGAGACCTATGCATCAGCGTCAAAGGCCGCCGACCACATTGGCGGAACTTGGCCAGGCGCTGCACAAGGAGTGGGACAGACTCCCTCAAATTGCCATTGTGCGACTCATAAGCAGCATGCCTCGTCGAATGAATGAATGTTTTTTTGTGGCAGTATTACGCACAACTGATCCAAAAACGTCAACTTTGAAATTTCCTATCTTGCCCCTACCGTATTTCAAAATTGTTGGAGGTCATAATATCTATGTGTAATGTGTTCCGAATTCGTTCATTATTATCATACAACTATAACTAGAAAATATTATCTCTTACAATTCTGGAAATTATAAGTTAATTCTAAGTTTTCCCTCCTCGTAACAATAATACTGGCCTGACACAGTCATATATTAACAACAATACTGGCCTGACACGGTCATATATTAACAACAATACTGGCCTGACACAGTCATATATTAACAACAATACTGGCCTGACACGGTCATATATTAACACCAATACGGGCCTGACACAGTCATATACTATAAACAATACTGGCCTGACACAGTCATATATATTAACAACAATACTGGCCTGACACGGTCATATTGTAACAAAGATAGCATCCTGACAGAGGACTGATGAATATGTATCGTCATTTAACAGTACTTACACACTCAGTTACTCACTATGCTGCATTATGTCACACACAAATATACATACACTGCACTGCTGTCAACATAGAAGTAATATTTTTCTGTGTAGCCAAATCTGGATGTGAAGTTAGTAGCCAAAGTCTGGGAAGTCGAACCATTGATGTATGCTGTCCTCAGTCTGTTATAGCTTTGCCACATTATTCTGTTGTCTGAAGAACAAATAAGATCAATGGGAGATACAAAATACTCACAATGAAACGAAATCAATAGGAATTGACATAGCATTTGTTACTACATGTAAAAATGAAAATCCTTAAAAATACATTCACAATGTACAACAGATATCGCCTCAATCTTATCTTACTTATATCACCTCCTGCACTTATTTTATACCTCAATTGTTAATTCCAATGAGATATTAGATGTACATTTCATTGAGACATTATTAAGCAACAGCCTGTGTTGCTTCACAGGAGGTTTTAAAATTAGTTTAATTCTGAGGTTTCGCTCAAGTAATTGTGTTCCATGCAGTCTGTCATTAATTGGCTAGTTTTGTTAATACGCATGCCTCTCAAATTCTTCGCAGGTGAAAAGTTAGCGTCCTCAGGTATTTCATCATTGATATTGGACACGTCCTTGGGGACATTGTAGACAAACAACTCACATACCCATGTGTTATAAGTCTACATTTCCTGATATAATGCAAAATGACATTCAACAAAGGAAGATATATAATATTATGTTTTCTTTAACTGATATTCCATATATATGGTGTCATGAAAGTCATGGACATATCAATTGAGGTCAAACGTATGATGAAATAAACATGTTATTGGTGTGGATCACACCCCCTCCACCGATTGATAATATGGGCATAGGATTAGTCCCCCGCTTTGAAATTCCTGCCTACGCGCCTGTCATGCATGATCAAAGTGGGACTCCTCTCTTCATGATAGAGTTCCTAATAATGTCTTCCGGAGTAACTAATAAATACATACTCACAGATATTTCCCAAGCATTTGTTGCATAATATAAGATAACTACACTTTATAAATTGCAAAGAAGAATGAAGTATGGTTTATTTCACGATAAAACATTGTTCTATCATGACGTCCTTTCTGGAGTTTCAAACATGCGCTCACAACTTGATGATGTCATTTATTAGATGGCATTATTATTTTTGAGAGGGAGCTGTTTTGTGAGTTGTTCCCAATAGTAATAGCAGGGCAATGCAGATTAACGCAGTGGCCGAACGATCGCATCTAAAATGACAATCAGGAAAAAATGTAGAGATAATTGACGTGAAAAGTGTGAGAATTGTGAACCAAACTTAACCCCTGTTCATAACATGGACTTGTCCAACTTTATGTAACAATTAGTGTGGGATAACACTTTCTCAGGAAAGTACAGATTCTCGTACTATTGGGGTTGAGTCCCGTCCGGGATTCGAACCTAAATTGGCATTGTTTGTTCATTGTTCAACATTGCCGAGGTCAGTCTGTATTCAGGGAGTCATCATTATTTAAATACTGGTGAACATTTTTTAATCTTGTACATTTTATTTACATCCATAAAGAGGCTGTAGATAATATTGAAGAAAAAAAACATGCAGGGAGAATAATCCAATCAGGGCTGCATGTGCCTCTCATGGTTTATTCTCCCTGCATGGTTTTATTGTACGATAAACAATGACCACAAGTCGTATATTTCTTAGAAACATACCTTGTTTGTGAAGGGTAGGGTTCCATACAGCATGAGTGTCGCTCACAACAGTGGAGGCTATTTCACTTCCATACTGCAGGGACATTATCCTGTCATTCTCCACCCAGTACAGACCACTAGAAAATAACAATTGCCAGTTAGTTCTTTAGAAAATTGAACACCAACACCTTTAGCAGGGTCCAGCTCCTTCTCCCTGTACAATAGCCAAGTGGATGAAGATTATACAGATGCGCACAGATGATCTAGATCACTTCTCACAGGCATTTTCGAAGGTTAGAATTTGCGGGTCAGCCAGTTTTGTGCACTGAGGTTGTGGGTAAGCCATGGTCTTGAATGCTGGCAAGATAGACATCTAATGCTGTGGCATTTACTCCAGCGTCTGAGTGAGTGAGTGAGTGAGTGAGTGAGTGAGTGAGTGAGCTGAGTTTAAACGCTGCTTTTAACAGTAGTCCAGTTATGTCAGCTTAATGTGGGAGGAAAGCCCGAAGTGATGCATGTCTCAGACGTTTACCACTTCAGTGAAACCCACGAGCACGGGTAGGCTGCTGACAAACCTAGAAACATAATCGGGCGAACCGGGATTCGAACCCACAATCAGGTTTCTGGCGTGCCCAAGGGACGCGACTCTGCACAGCAAATCACAGCGCCTTAGATGCCTGGGCCACCCGTGCCCCTTCTACGGTCTGACATAGTAACAGAGAAGAATCCAGGAACAAGGACCACATCACAAGACAAGTACAAGTTAGCAAGGAAACGTGTATGACAAGGTTGGTCAAATTCTTGTGCAAACTGCCATGTGGCAGTGCTACACAACAAAATATTATCTGGTCTTTGATCAAGACATACTTACCGGAATTTTCAACAGGAAATTATGCAACATAAGTTATGAGGTTGTATGTCCACAATAATTCTCAACAGAGAGATTTGAAGTTGATAAAGAAATGAAACTCACAAGTCTTGGTTCACTTGAAGTCCTCGTGGTTTGGTCAGGTTAGATAGCAGGACCAGTTCAGCACCAGATGTGATGTGAAGGGTAGATAGTATACCCGACGAAGTTGTGAAGAACAAGAGGTCAGATGCAATGTCTATGTCTAGGCCTGTCAGCACGATCCCTGGTGGACATACATGTAGAACAGGGTTATTGACATTGATGCTATACTTGGACACAACATAGTACACAGCTTTCAGGACGGGCTCCAAATAACAACACCTCTCAACTACGACAAGTACTATTTTCAAAGATGCGACCAATTAGGCATAACATGAATAAATGTACCAATATGTTCCTGTTCCTGTTCATGTTATAGATAGAGCCAGTGCCAGTACCTTATTGAGAGAACTTTGTCTCACGACAGTATGTTTTTCTCCCCAAAACGTATTAGTTCAAGTTCTCCGTCATAGAGCAAAGGCAAATACCCGAGTTCATTAACTTGCAATGCAGATCGCACAAACTCCACCATTCATAATCAAAGCAGATTGCACAAATTCCTATAAACTGTACTGTTTGTGCACTCAAGTGTTTGTTGTTTAAGGTCTGTCATACTGAAATGTACAAGTTCCACGCCTCTATGAACTGTATACTTTACAGTTCTTTGTCAGCATATAAAGGGACTCCACCTGACCAAAAGAACCCATTGAACACAAGTGTTCACCTGTGAATAGTGAATAGTTCTGGTATCTGACCACTTTTGCTCGTCGGATACGTAAACTATTTACTTGTTTCATAAAATTGGTAGTACACAGGAGCTTGTTTAGTATTTCATTCCTTCATGCAAATTCAGAACTCGCCATCAACTTATTCTCTTTTATGAAGTTTTAAATGATATGACACCTAAATACTTGTTCCAAGACACTTGGCCCTTTACAACCATTTATTTTAAGAAACAATGACATTGCCTGTTGACTTAATCTTAACATTTCTTCCCATAATTAAACAAATAAACGTGCTCCTCTTTGAAAAATCAACTATTACATGATGATGTAAGACCCACACCACTGTTATAGAACTTCCAAAATAATCCACACTTGCCTATGACTTAACAGACCTCAACTCAGAGACATCTCACGTCCATTTTGCTGTTGTGGTCAAACTTATAAAGATGAATATTGCATTATTTTTAATGTCCACATATCCATATATCTTGACACAGATTTAACAGTATTTTCTAAAATATCAACCCTGTTACACACAAAACATTATTGAATAACTTCTTTTCTTTAAGAGAACAAAACCTTTAAATATATATGATATTACTGTCAAATTGGGTAACTTCTTACGATGAGACACATGCCTATAAGCATTAATTTTGTTCATTCATTATCCATTATGTCATATATTAGGCTGTACTTAATACCATATTATGCATAAAAGCACATGCCATAAAGAATTTTAAGGAGAGAGGTTCAGATAGTCATCTAGTTGCCTCCAACTGAAAAGGGAATAAGTATTGTTTAAAACACATGGGACTGCTATATACGGAAGGTCATTGGGAAGAATCTCAGAGGGATTTCTTTAGCTATTGAAACACATCAGTGATATTTCAAGGTATCATATGCTGGCCTGGGGCATACATTTCACTGATCATTACGTCCTCAGAAACCACAAAAACAACATTTAGGCACAATTATTTTGATTTACCTCACTTAACATCGCTCCTTGAAATCCTTCCATGTCATGTTTGTGCATGATTTAATGTGATAGTGTGATCTAATCTGAACATGGTTTATTCTTTCATTGTCATTGATTAGGATGTTTCAAGGATAACAAACCCCTTTCTCCATGCAAGTTTTTTTCATGTTGTTTAAAAATGCAACATGGCTCTCTTGAAATTGTTATTAGTAAACATATAAGTAGGATATTTTGACAGTGTGTATACAATTTCACAATTAATGTGTTAGAGTGGGTGTGGTTATGTCTCTAAACTTGTGGAATTAAGTTATTCATCCTACATTGAGCTTTTGAGGCGTTCCCTATTGTTACATTCCAGAATTTCCTTTTGGGACCATATGAGACAATTAGAACAAAAAGTTACTGGCAACAAGAAAACAAGGATGTTACTCTTGTTTTACAGTTGTCTTCTTGTGAAAAGAAGACAGCTTGAAAACTATACGGGTAATTAATAACTAGACAACAGTAATTCGCTACCAGAGAACCAGTGACCGCTCATTAAACAACCATTTAGAAAGACAACTAGAAACAAGGTATATAACAAGTTTTGAAATGACAACAAGAAGCCAACTAGAAACTGCTTTTTCTCAGAAACCATTGTTGATATACCTTCGGGGAATTTGAAGAGCAATTCCTGTCCAACGCCATCCATCGTGACTCTCCCGATTGTGGTTGGGGTCCGTGTGGCGAAGTAAACGAACTGATCCCTCTGATTGTACACGAGAAGATCCACAGTTCCAAAGTACCTCTCCACACTCACTGTACCTATTGTCATGCTGTGAAGGTTAAGGATTCCAAACTCGGAGTCACCCATACCAAACAGCAGTTTTAACTCTGACGTGTTTGTGTCTGAAATGGAGATAAATATAAATATGACATGTTTGATTTAGGTAGGTCTTTCAGCAGCAATAACAGCTTATTGAAAGTTGGAATTGAAATAAAATTATCAAGTGTCAAAAAAGATGTTCTATGAAGTTGCAGGGAGATTTGTGTAAGTATTACTAAAACATCTTCTTTACTTATGTTGCCGATCCGTGAAGATCCAGGTTAGAATAGGTTTTCAGCAACCCATGCTTGCCCTAACAGGGTACTATGCTTGTGGTAAGAGGCAACTAACGGGATCGGGTGGTCAGGCTCGCTGACTTGGTTCATGCATGTCATCGTATCCCAATAGCGTGGGTCGATGATCATGATATTACTCACTACATTGTCCGGTCCCGATTTGATTACTTACAGACCGCTGTCATATAGCTGGAATATTGATGAGTGCAGCATGAACAAACAAACAAACAAACTTATGCTGCCTTACTGCCCTGTTGGAAATTCCAGTAAGATAGATTAAACCAGCCAGATTACACCTTTTCCATTATCATAAGGAAACGCTGTCAAAAGCCGAGTCCACTGTATGATTCCGACCATAGGATACGCATGTGCTTATGAATCACTATCAAATTATGATGAAATCAGGTGTCCATGAAAAGGTGAGCGTATCCTGCCCCTCCGGTGACATCCATCAAAAACACATGCAAAGGAGAGTCAATTATGTTAGTACATTGCATCGGACATATTTGGCACTGAGGTGTCAAAATTGGAAATGTCCTCCACATGTTTCCATAAAACTGTTTGAAAGTTCTACTGAGGCCTTGAATGTAACCCTGATCAAGCAAGTTTTTGAGCAAGAGTCGTATGATACTCTTTTTACATCTTCGAAGAAAGAACCTGAAAAGTTAATAGTGAGCGATTGAGTACAGTTTACGCTGCTTTAACAGATATTTTAGCAATATCACGGCGGGGGACACCATAGGCTTCACACATTGTACCCATGTTTGGAATCAAACCCGGGGCTTCGGTATGACGAGCGAAGGCTTTAACTAATAGGCTACCACACCTCCCGTACAAAGTTAGTGAAGAAAGGGGGTTAATCATAGATCTTTCAAAAACATTCAATTCTGTCAATAGAGAATAGCTCTGGTATTTATTTTCAAATAGCGATATCAACACTAAAATGGATGAAGGATTGAAATCTGTGTAGCACAATTTCAACGCTTATTGTGCATATCCAAAATGGTAAAGACTGATGTCTTTGAATGTCCCCTGCTTTTTTTTGTGTTCATCTTTGTTTCCAGTTTTCATTATTTAATTAGTCAATATCGACTATATGTCAGGTTGATCTGGGCAAAGTCAACAAAGCAATCTAAGCACAATGACTCCGATACCCTTACATAAACTTATGATGGTCATGGCGCTAAGACGCTTTGTGGAACGAGGCCCTGTACCATAATGCTATGTTTCACCTGTGCACTGCTTGACATCAGGACTTCCCTTGAGCTCCGTAGTCTTGAGTCCAGGACATGAGTGGCAAAATGACATTCCTGGTTTGTCCTGGTAGAACCCATGTTCACACGCCTTGCATTGTTGAGTGTCAAACATCTTTCCAGGAGGGCACTTGACTAAATACACATATGGGTGTGAATTAGCTTGTAGTACATTTAAATTGATATATTTGAACCATTATTAAAACAACGATGATAACATGAGCTACAAAGCAAAATTCTACCATGAATTTGGAAAATACTCAAAGTTAATTGACCAAACAGATGTTTCAAATCAAAATATCCCACCATACTCAGATTGAAACAGCTGAATTGATGGTTGCAGAAGCTAATGTTTATAAATACAGTCAAGTCATGTTAATCTGACATGGTTGGTTGCATATGATTATGTTGGATTATCAAGTATAAGAAATTAAGTAGTATCAACCTTTGTGATCGAAAATCGAACAACTACACGTTCCTGTTAGTTATTTCATTGGTCGGTCAAACTTTGAGAAAGGTCGTTTTGAAGTAATCTGTAATGGGATGTTCATAGCAGTAGCGAGAACTTGTATCTGATTTCAATTGTAATATGCAGCTACCAGCTGACTCATATCGTATCAAAACACGGGCTGTGTACTCGCAGGCAGATGACCACGGAGTATGCTGATCACCGTTGAATTAACGAGACTGATTAATGAGTGATTTTGGCAATTCCTTGCAAATTAGGTGTGTTGAATTGGGAGTGCAAGACTGAGTAGTTAACAGGTCCAAATAGCACTGAAATAATCAGTTCCCAATTTTAGTGTCGGATAAAACCGATTGTCGGATTAACGTGTGTCTAATTAACAAGACTTGACTGATGTACTTCTTTCTCAGACAGTGTTGGTAGGCTCAATAATGATATGTACTCTAACAGCAAAGTCACAAAAAACAGATGTAGTTACTAAAATATTCAAAGTGTGTGTGGCAATACATTAGGGGCAGAAACCATGATAGGAATTGACTGAGAGAGAGCATTTTCATTTCTTTGGATGGGGGAAGCTTGAAAACTGGTGCGTTTCTATCTTGATCTGACTATAATGGATGTAGTGATGACATAACAGCTTTGTTCAACTTAAAACTAAACCTTGTAAGTACCTCGCCTTTTCTTCAGGTGAGTCCACCTGCTTACCAAGTAGCTGTGCTTAATCCTTTTAATGGATGTCATTTATGCGAATAAAAATCACTCAAGCAAAACACAATGTTTGAGTACAAACAGTAACACACCAGGTTTTTTATAAAAGGCAAGATCATTATTTCCTTAATTTGCAACCTACATGAAACATTGGACGCAAACCATGCCACTTCAGTCCTGGGACTACTTACTACAGAACACGCCACCTTGGATGGCACCAATGGGGCATGTCATGATCTGTACAGCTGACATGAAGGTGGGTTGTAAGGGGTTTTGCTGGTCCAGTTTCATGTTGAAGTCTGTGTAGTTCTCACGCCTCACCTCCCAGTTCGTGTCATCCAGGAAGTGCCAAGTTCTCAGGATGTTGCCAAACTGACCTGGAACTGCAATATTTATTAAATAGAATTAAATTTTGCAGTTATCCTCTTGATTTTATAAACTACATGCGAAACACCTGTATGATAACAAATGCCCCGGCAATGGGACTCCATCAACTTACCATCAACACCTAACTACATAACAGTGCATCTCTTGTTGCGATGAAATTTATCTCCTTCGATCCTATGATATATATAGCTCCAAATCTGTATAAATGAACCACATGTGACAGTTTGTGAAACGGAGCATCAAATATTTCGGAATTCATGACCTCTTCATGCTCTCATGTTGAGAAGAAAATACCATATAAAAACTTTTGGTCTGATGATATCTCTCCAAATTGCAAACAGTTCATAATAATCTTTATCTAAACGTAAATAGATGACAAATTTTAATCACTGAACAGATCAGACCGAAGTTTTTCCCGATGCGTGACTCACTGTCAGCAGCATTCCTGAGTGAACCTGGAAACCTGATGCTACTCGAGTGCATCCAAACACAGGTCTTCGAACAGTTGGAATTGAAAGCTTTGCAGAGATGAATAGATGGTCTACAGATTGGATGCTAACAGATTGATGGATTGATGGATGATAGACAGGCATATTAGATGGATGGATGATAGTCAGATTGGATGATTACAGATTGATGGATGGATGGATGGATGAAAGTCAGATTGGATAATTACAGATAGATGGATGGATGATAGTCAGATTGGATAATTACACATTGATGGGTGGATGGATGGATGATAGTCAGATTGAATAATTACAGATTGATGGATGGATGCATGATAGTCAGATTGGATGATTACAGATTGATGGATGGATGATAGTCAGATTGGATGATTACAGATTGATGGATGGATGATAGTCAGATTGGATGATTACAGATTGATGGATTGATGGATGATAGTCAGATTGGATAATGACAGATTGATGGATAGTCAGATTGATGGAGGATAGATGGATGGATGATAGACAGGCTGGATGCCAAGAGATGGACGGATGATATCTACAAAGAAGATTTCATGAAACACGCAGCATCATAGGTTTAATAGTTCCTGAAAGTTGTTCCCAGATGACCATTTAGCATGAGAACAGACTACAAGGCAACGCCATAAGCTCACTTGATTGTTAGTCAGGTGAGCTAAGATAATGATGAAGACCTACCATTATTTGCCCAAAAATGATACATATCAATATAATATGATGTATCTTGTCTGTAAAATGAAAACAAGATCCATTTGTAAATTTAGTTCTCTCGCTTGCACAATTCATACTATTTACTGGTGTGATTTTTCTAGTGTTTAATTTAGGAGGTTTTTTGTGTGATATTACTGAGCATGTCTAGTATACAGCACCTTCAACTGCCAATGATGGATGATCATATGGATTCACTATTAGTGAGTCGTTGACAACAGACAATTCCAGTGCTCTATGTTCAATCATTGTTGGTTCATCACTTGTGTGGGTGAAAACGTTCCATGTTGCAAACAGCGGTTCTAAGTAAGTCATCACTGCAAAGGAAAGCAAAATATACAAGATGGTACCAGGGGTACATAGTACAGGTTCTGGTTATTCCTAATTGAGATCCATATTTTCTTTGAAGAGACAATAGGGACAAACTGATAATAATACTGACACACTTCAAAAAATGCAAACATTTTTTCAGAATTTTATTTTACACATGAAATAAATATTAATAAACAAGTAAACATTGTAAATGCAACAAAAGGACATGTGTTGGGCTGTTTCTAAAAGTGGACACATCTTGCACGTGCAATCCCTGGAGTCGGAAGAATAAAAGGCATGGGCATCAAGATGACAGCAGCGATTTGGACCTATGCCACGACTGAGTTTACAAAAAACAGAGTGTGCTCTTGGGCGGCTCAAGGCAGGAACTTCACAGGCAGCTGATACTGATGATGAAGTAAATAAAATAACCAGAATGTGAAACGTGGCCTCGATTCATTGTTACCGAGTCAAGGGAGGAAAAGCAATTGAAGGCATTGATACTGTTAAATAGTCCCCCAAATTAGATCTTTTGCAATTCTGATAGAATGTTTAAAGATAAAGCAGGAAGCTAATATCATGGAAGGGAATTGTCATGCAAATAAACTACACAATATACTGATGAATCCGTCGAATTCGGTGTCACTGCCTTCGCCGGCCTGAATGGCATCGACATGGATACAAACTCCTCGTACAGCACTTCATCCTCGGAACCGTCCATTGCGTTTGAGATTCCACATTTTAAGAATGACCCACTTTCGTTCACCCTCTTTGCAACTTCTGTGAGTGGAGCTCTTCACATGGTATCTGACTTTGTGAACGTATGTTCTCTGTAAAGTTTCCACTCTGACCACTGCTCTCGGACGTTGGTCTTGAAAGGCTTTTTTAAACACACATCAAGTGGCTAAATCAATTAGGTACAGTCGCCCGGGATCACTGCCTGATGGATCTTCTTCCCTGTTAGTGAATTCTTGACAGTCAGGCATAAGTGCGCCCTGAACATGTACCACCTGAGAAGCGACATGCATCATCTCAAGCCACCGGCCACTTCATCTTCTTGGCCTTTTATAGATGGTCAGCGCTCGATGTCGAATCCTTCAGTTAAACGTATGGCGATACAGTTTAAAGTCAGCATCGTAAGTGTGGTGTTTTCTTTTCAAGCACATGAAGAGACTGTCAGTCCCTAAAACATATCAACTTTAACACCCCTATGCAGTAACTATGCAGTTTCTCAATAGTACATCTCATCAAACATTGCCGCCATTATTGTATGTTCGTCCATCATAATTACATAAACTATGTGAACATTGAATGACCATCACTTACCCACAGGCTTTCCCAGTTTATGAAAATAATCTCTCGAAAACAAAGATATTAAGCCCCTACTCCCAACACAACCGCTACGCACAACTTGAAAAGTGTTTGTGTAAACAACATAACAATACCAATCAGCCAAATAATTATCAGTGCTCATTTCCTTGTGTACCGCATGTGTTGCTTTCTTAACAACAGGAAGCAATCACAGTCTTCACCGTTTGTGACGTCATAGGAAACAGCTGCTCCCAATAACTAATGTCTTTTTTGCAAATGGCGAACGGAATAACTCGCCATTTCAGTTGTATATTTGCCACGGTAATAAGGTAGATAGATACCTGTTCACATTCAATTAATAAACTTCGCAAAAAGTTTGTAATAGCTATTTGCGATTTCATCTGTGGATGTTGTTACAAAGAACATTTGAAACATTTCGGGTAATAGTAACATAAATGAAATTATTGGTGTATAATATGCATTTTCCCTTACATAAGCCAAATCCTTTGTATAGAATCATTTTTCCGGTCCTCAATATTCAGCTTATCTATGGTCATATACAGAAAATCTTTTTGTAAGTTGGCAATTGTTCCCAATCCTTGAATGTGCTTTAACTTGGCCCTGGGCACCCTTGGGCACATATGATTTTTATGACCCCGATATGTTTGCCCGCGTAGGTATTATATATATTATCCTTGTTTCAAACTCATTTTAGCCAAATGCACAAAATCCTTAAAGAAATGCATGCAATGATGATAATGTTGACAAAATAATGTCCTACCTTTCTTGTTCTTCTGAATCTTTGATACATTTATTTGTCCTTGTGGTACATCTCTTCTGACAATGAGAGAACCGTAGTGCTGACCATCAACTTTATTGCAGTTTGTAATACTCTCATGGCATACAGAAGACCCAATTTGAATGGAACAATTATGACTTCTGACACAATTGAAACTGCTTCCCACAGAGTGCAACTTGGAGCTGATGAGGCCAGGTGTTATGACAGAGTTGCCAAATACCACTGTGTAGTTGATGCCAGCTGAGAGTGGAGTCACCGGGTCTGTGAAGTAAATCATAAAATTAGTGCACAGTACTGTAGCTCACCTGGTTATATATGAGAGCTTTAAACAGCCACTTAAATGTTCAATATTTTCGATATAAATTGAAAACAATACACACGTTACTAAATTTAAACAATGTCTGAAAAGGGATGAATGAGTACAATGTGTGAATATACTGCTGGAATAATATGGCTTGAATTTTGCTTTATAATTACTCACTCAATGTACCTTCCAGTAAAGCACTACCTTGTCCACAATTACCAGAAGTGCCAGATATCATCGTGTAACACTAAATATATCAACTGGAATGGTGTTTGCATTACATGCAAAAACAGAAGCAACCTCATTCTCCAATCACCTCCTGAATGCCCCCCAAACTATCCAACCAGAAACATGTATCATGTAACATCAATCAAGTTTTACAAAGAAATGGTGCTGTTACAGATTATTAACATTAATCTCCAGCATAACATTCATCATGAGAAGACTTTTGCAAAATATGAATAAAATTCTGAAAATATTTTTCAAAGTATTAAACCTTGAAATTGTCACATTTATTGGCTTATTACAGTATATCTAATGACTTATTCAAAAGTAATGCAAGAGATTTTAGGGTAACTTTTTAGGGTTAGACTGGGTGCATCTGGAATCCATTATCTACTATTTGGTATCGATAATCCTGAAATCACCTCACTAGTGCCAAGGATGTATGCAAATATGAGTTAAAGTTCCATTAAATCTGCGTCCAATTACCTATTTTTGTACAAGTTTGAACAGAATCCACACTTCCAAAAGGTAACAAGTGGTCCTTGAAATGCCGTACATGTTGGTGTAGGAGACGCCACCTTGGAACATGAAACCCTAATCCTCGAAAAGAAGAAAACTAATCCTCTTTATTATCTACTCAGGTGAGAAGCACGTTCTCGCTTCTTTTAAAGTACACACTGCTTTAAAACAGCAAACTTTCATGCTATTAGTACTCAGAATATTTTTTTATCTATTATTTTTTGTGTTGACAGTAGCTCACACAGGGAAGAAGTGAAGATTTAGGAAGGGAGGCACTATCAGAAGACAGAAAAGAAGACTGAATCTGAAGATTGTATTGTGTGATGACCACCGAAATACAGGATTTCTGGCACTTTACAAAGAGAAGTTTTGCATTCATAAGAATTATCATGACTTGCTAAACTTTGTTTATGTTTGTATCATCAGCAGTGACCTTGCCTGACTGCATTGTTCCGGGAAAATATAGTACAATGGTTATAACTACCAGTAAATGCAAAAAAACTCCCACTATATCTTTGTTACTTTGAGTATTATGTATGTCCCTGGGATGTCCCTAACATGTGTATGTTTGCTGGTAGCGAGGTGTCATATTCAAACAAGCATATTATAGGAATATACCTTAATGCCATAGTATACAAAGTAAACAACACTCGAACAAACGAAACAAACCCACCTGTGCATGAGACAGTTTGCCTTGTTGGTGTCCATATACCGTGGCCACACGTGTAGACAAAAGGCTTCTCGGGAAACACCAAGCCGTGCTTGCATTTGACTTGACATGTTATCGACGTCTTCTGTATGTCACAAGTTTTAATTATACCTTTCCCAACTACTAGATCATCCGTGTTGCATTCTGGAAAACGAATTCAAGTTATATCCATATACCACACATAATTATCTCAGTTTAAAAAGTATGAAACATATCACAATTAGTTGTATTAGATATTGTATCTTGTGTATCACACCTATGATTGTGGGTTCGAATCCCGGTTCGCCCCCATTATGTTTCTAGGTTTGTCAGCACCATACCCGTGCTCGTAGGTTTCACCGAAGTGGTAAACGTCTGAGACTTTCATCACTTCGGGCTTTCCTCCCACATTAAGCTGACACGCCGTGATATATATGGAAAACTGTTAAAAGCGGCGTTAAACCAAACTCACATAAAACTCTTGTGTATCACAACGAGTATCCATTCCCAAATAAATTCTTCAATATATCTGGTATTTCTGGCACACAGGTTGTTTACACAGATATTTGTTTCGTTCAGGTCAGCAGTGAAAAAATAAACATTCTCAGTTACTTTTTCAACTTATTATATAAGGTTGGCAGATCAGTAAATAAGGAAATAAAAGTCTGGCCTTATGTGTATAGTCAGAAGAATAACCACTCTACCTGGGCATGTCTGTCTCTGACAAAATATTGTCTGTTGTTTGTCACCAGGACACGTCTTGCCATTTCTATCTGGTGGTGGATTAGTACAGAAACGATGTCTTCTCCTTGTTCCATTTCCACAGCTTACCGAGCAAGCACTCCATTCCATCCACTTACTCCACCCTCCATCAGCTATAACATTGTACAAAACATCATGTATACATAATATATACATGTATTGTATAAAAGAAATGAATGACATCAGTCATGGTCTTGGTATATCATCACTCCTAGTGCATGTAAATGCAACACCAAATACTGAAAATCTGGAACGTTTTGCAAGCAGGAAAGTATAGTATTTCACGACACAGCTTTGATCTTTGGTAATCTCAACAGGGTGTCGCAAAACTTTCCACGCGCAGTTAAAGGGAATCAACACTCCAACTTTGAAAGTACTCAAAATATGGATCAGCATTTTCTTTGCGGATTCAAATTTTACTTAATATGGACTATAATCTCGACTCGTTCAGCTTGTGTTCAGCATTGTTCTCGCTGCTCTCCGTGAATTGACATCTAGCAGAGGATCAAAGTATGAGAAGCTGTATATATAGTAACAAAGGATATAAAGATACAGCCAAACTGGCATGTGTTTTTGATGCTGATGAACGTATAGGACTTGAAGGAGTGAAGCTATTGGTCAACGTCATAGTATGCACAGTAAAAAACTACATAGTATCCCTTTAGAGAATTCAGGTAAAACACAGTTGATAACAAACTTGGTCAATAAAAATGTGTAATTTGAGATATATTATCACTACACATCATGATGAATTCCCAGCTATTTCCCAGGAATAAAGATTACAATGTGTATTTTCTCGCAAACTAAGTCGGAAATAACAATCAGCTGTTTCCAAAAAATGTTTACCAACTTAACGGTGATAAGGTTAAACAAAATACCTGATGATATAAATTCAAAGAATTTTGATGCAATGATTAAATGAATTGTATCTTAACTATTATTTTATCAGAAATTATATATTCCAATAATGATTATTTTTGTTGCACCTTTTACTTTATACAATTAAAATAATAATAACCATAAGCGTAGCATTTACGAGTCACCGTTGAGGCCTCCCATTATTCTTGCCACAGAAAACGAATGACAACAAAATGCAAATATCATAATTATAACTGACAAAAGTTACATCTATAATTTCAAATAAATACCTTGTTCAAGTAATATATCTGGCAATATCCACATAAAGAAGCAATATCCTATAGATCTAACAAAAAACGGTACAAAAAGACTTGTTCGATGTCACGTGTCCTTTTAACAATCTAATATTTTAAATATATATCGCGTTTCAGGATATTATTACCCGTGTCCGTCTCACAACTGATGATATTAGTTTGTTTCAGGTGATTCACAGAGATGTCACGTCACATTGGTCAGCTGAGAGCACAGGTAACAATGAGCAATCAACGTTTTATTGGCTAATCCTAGACACTTCAAGCCCAGGTATGGGTGTATTCCATCTGCTTTAGTAAACCTACATATATAAAGACTTACTTTTGACAAATCCACTATGCAAGATTACAGTAATTAATCAATCGACGTGTCATCGGTTAATCCTTTAATCAATGTTTTTTGCAACTCAACTGACAACTCTCTTGTTGCGCTGTCATTGCATATTACATAACATGTAATACATTCACCACATCAGACATGGGTTAATAACCCAATCTAAGATTAAATAATAACCCCAGATAGGAGAAATGCCATATGCGAACCACTGATTGATATATGTCCTTGATACCCTCAGAAGCAGGGGTTAACGTTATTGAGTTACTTTGCAGAGTCTTTGTCAGGTAATCCGAGAAGTTCGAGCACTAATTATATTTGTGATAAAGTCATCAACTGAGTATCAAGTGAATGATGACAAATACAGAGGTGTAGGGTTTATGCCATGAAACATAACAAGAAGGGGGTAGTAATTGTTGTATTATATGCAATTTCCATGAAAAAATAAGGCTCGTTGCTGTTTTGTGTAGATAAACTGAACTTCATTGTAGCAAAACAAATATGTACATGTATTTGCCGTATACCAAACTACATAGTTGTGCATACGCATGTACTAACGCAGACGAATTTGCATGGTCAAAGGTTTTATAGCATTCCCCTCACTGTCAGGGGGGTCCTCCCTCGCTGGTCCAAAGCCCATTTGGTTGGAATACTGGTGCTAGTTGGCATCTGGTGATTACACAGGGTAATTAAAACTGTGCAGGCTAGTAAACTATCAGTTTGAATGATGTTACCTTTTCAGGTCACTGTCAGCCACTCATAATTTCATGGTGCAAAACTTTCCAGATTTACAGTATATTCTCATCACGGATCACGTACCTATTTCCACCTCACAGAGTTCTCCCCTATAGCCTGGAGCACAGTCACAATGGTATCCCTGTCCTGATAACAGGCATGTGGCATTATTTCTACAAATATTGTCTTTACACAAATCTGGGGGCACGTCACATTTTTCCCCAGTGTAACCTCCTCTGCAAACACATTTGAAACCTTTGCGGGTTGGAATGCAGATATTGTCTCCACATGGATCAGAAGCACAAACATCAGGCTCTGTTGAAAAAGAATATTTGTTCAGTTAATACAACACAGAGTTCCAGAGGTACAGAAGCTCACCTTTATTTGGAAAGATATAACTGAGAGGTTAGAATATGATAAACTGATGTTTTGCTTCTTTTTCATTTAGTGTAATAAACTGTTAATTTACTTTTCAATAATAGTGATGGGAAATGTTGTAGGACCTATGATAAAATATATATAATGGACATTCATTGATAGCACAATGGGGAAGTGTTAGCTGTATGAATAGAACAGAAACATACACCTTGTTGTGTTGAAAATACCCAATTTTGTCTGGGGTTATTTTTCATATTTTTACATTATCTGAAATTATGGGGGTATAAACATAATGTAGAAGCATATGAAAACAATTATTATTCACAACAATGAATTGAGGCATAACTTGTATCCCATGTATACACAGAATATTACTAAAAAAACTGTCTCCAAATTGTATTTCTAAATTCTATTCTTAAAGTATTTTGCTCTTGTAGAGTCACTTGATTAAAGAAACAACTGACATGGATACTGCCTTAATAAAGGCACAACTTGTATAATCTAACATGGACATCTATAATATTATTTAATCAACGCCATCGGCTGTCGATGTGACCCAGTGTCTCTTACTGTGTATTTTAGTTGTTGGAATGTTCGGAATTAATTATGATACAAAATAATACTGAACCAAACTTGCTGTCATCAATGATATTCAAATATTTCTGACAAATACTTCTCATATATTGATAACATTTCAATATGCAAATAAAGGAATCCTTATCGTTGATTGAGACAGGTAACTCCAATGGAAAATATTTTTCAAAATTTAAAAAAACAAACAAAGTTGTGTATAAAAATGTCTGCTCAAAATGCAATGATTTAGTCAAAACTGTGATTTGGTTCCAATGTTTCTACACTTAGATAAAAAGTGCAAAAATAGTACAATTGGACTGTATCCTATCTGGATACTGGTATATATACTGATGGAAACAAATAAGGGAACAGTGAAAAATATAGGGAAATAGACTTTACTGTCAATATCAAATGTGGAGATGTCTTCGTGTGCATTGCTTCCAACTCATATTTGGTAGACAAGGGTGGGAACCCATGATAGCGCATCATTTTACTGTGTCTAAAACTAAGTGTTCCCTTAATCATTACCATCAGTATATATATTAAACTGTGTGAAATGTCAACAAAGACTGCCACTTCATTTTGATCAACTGTTTCCAAAGGATAAACTTTCACTTTTACCTAATAATGATGGCAAACATCCACCTGTTGTTTCCAAATAATAACCTTTTAAGAAAAAATAACCATACACATGGCATATTTATTTATTCTGCGGAAATGAGCAACTTATTTTTGCAATTCGGCCTGCGGTAACAAGTTGCATGCAAATCATGATTCAACAAATTTGAATCTTCTTATACATAACATTCATACAAAAAAGGGTTTCTCAGCCATGTATTTCTTGAAGAGGAAATGTTATGACTTTTGATAAAAAACTGTTTTTCACAAACAATAGAATTCGTCGTATCCTGCAAAAGGCTTGCAACCAACTCTCTGACTTATCCCAATGTTTGCTAAAACTCTAAATTCAAGATTAAAGGGTCTTAATGAGAAACAAAACTTCTGTATTTATTTGTGCTAGGGAATTCACAAGGTTTTTCCCATGAATGTGGAAGTAGTCTGTCAGTGTTTTCATTATGTAAAGAATACAGTCTCATGAAAAATGTATGAACGTCAAAAAGTGTCATTCACACACTTATGAACTTCAGTTTCACGGTCATGTGACCGACCTCTCGTCTAATGGAAATGCTGTATATCGCACAAAATTTACATTTATAAAACTTATAACAGTTTGTACAAACTTTTTTTATCATAAGGAGAAAAATACATTTCAAATTTCAGTTTCATCCGTTTTATCAGTTTATCAGTTTCAGAGAAGATGTTTACACAGCGCAAAATGCACTCTGAAATAATTTAAAGGTTATGCAAATCAGTTTTCACACTATCCAAAATCCCTAAACATCTTAAAACATACTACAAAACTATAAATGAATTGGTTTTGAACCTCTTCAACAAATTTGTGGGAGAAACATGGCAAGTTTGAGCTTTATTGTGACGTTGAGGCCAGATGACAGACAACAAGCAGGTCATGACATAGGACTTTCTGTCATCTGTGCTTAAAAGTTATCAAAAAGGCTCATCAAGTAGTACAATTGGACAATTCTAGCAGTTGAACGAAAGACAACTGTATATGTGGATACTCACTGAGACAGGTACTTGGAACAACTTTATACACTCTGTCAAGCGCATGCATGTTGATCTGTTCAGAAGAAAAGATGGTGTCATTGCGACGAGAGTCGCAGGAAGTAGTGAGACTCCTGATGACATCAGCCTTATCCAGAGACCAGAAATTGAGATCTCGCATGTACATGTCTAAAAAGAAAGCATCGATAATTAATAAACTGTTCATTGTTGGTCATATTTGATAGTTAATCCCACTTTTTCTATGAGGATAACAAAAATCAACAACATAAGGCAATGTCTATTTTAAAAATTGATCCACTCACCCTCATAATGAATAGTACCCCACCCCCTAAAGAAATACATTACAGTCAAATGCAAATTAAAGTATTCACCTATTGTTTTCTAGTCAATACTGATCATGTGATAAGTCAGTATTCGAGGTCAGTGTCAGTAACATGATTTCGTGGTCTACATTGAAATGTATTGTTATACCTATATGAAGAATCTTGCAATTCCATTGGTTAATCCATACCATATGACGAAATAATACATTTCAATGAAGCCCCCAAAATGTAACTGACACTGACCTCGAATATTGATTCGGCCGTCTGATTTCCTCGGGTCCTTGTTTTCGCATATTGACCTCATCAAGAGTAATTATTTCTATATTATTTCGTCATGTGGTATGGATTAACCAATGGAATTGCAAGATTCTTAATAGAGGTATAACAATCTTACATGTTTACCTGGCTATTTAGAGGGCAAGAATTTCATTCTTATCATGACTGCAATGACTCACTAAAGAGGTACATGTGCATGAATATCACAGGTTGAATAAAAACAACAAAACCATTTTAAATTCACAAGAAATCTCTGCTAAAAGCAGATTCCATTATGTTTATAAATCACTATCAAATTGTGATGGTACCAGTTGTTCCTGAAAAGATGCCAAAACCCGTGCTTCCCAACACAAACACATGCAAAGGCAAGTCAATTGATCATCTTAAAAAAGCGGGAACATATGCTTTGCATCTCACATCATTTTTTGTCACTGATGTATCAAATTTGGAAATGTGATCCGCAAGTTTTTGAAAGCTGTTGTAACCTTTATCAAAAAACTTCTGAGCAAGAGTTGAATGATACTTTTTGAAATCTTGGTAGAAAGGGCATGCTTGATTATTCCTCAAAAGCTGTGAAATGCAAACAACTAATTGCCCTATATAAAGGGAAAACAATCGGAATCTTTACGCATAGATCCATCAGTGGAAGGGAATTGCGTATTTGACCGTTTTTTAATTATATCAGATCATTGATATACCTGAAGCTTAGCTTCTCGGGAAAATGGCCTTGGTCTTTGCCAATCCAAGCAGAAATTCAGATTCAAATGCATAAAGAAACAGATCAGCAAGATCCCTGAGGATGCCTACTTCATGCCTAAATGTCTTACCCACAATTTTACATAGATATAATCGTTGAGGAAGTCCGGCATTTCACATATTGTTTTCTCAGTAAACTGCAGATGACATTTTCTATTATTATTGACAAATTGCCCTGAACCCCTGAATATAGATATGTCACTATATCTGTGGTCACCAGGCTCAGTAACAAATGCACCATGGATCAAAGAATGAAGCTTGTCATGTGGCGTTGTGGTACATAAAGTTAAAAAAATCAAATGTTTTGACAGAATTGAACTTGGTTCTTGTCTGAGACTGCAAAAAATCAAGCAAATCTTTTGCGTTTGGATAATTGACATAGTATTAATTCAACTTGTCTCAAATACTTTCCGTGAACATAAAGAAAGCCCCTCCTTGGTTGTATTAAAGGTTATGGTTAGTCATGCCAAATATCACAAGACACAGCAAATATTGACATCTGTTGTAGGACGCACCACATACTTTATGCACATGACATTTTTCATAATGATAGGAATTTAATAACATCACAGACGTAAACACAATGCATTTCCAATATAGCTGCTAATATTACTGAATGTGATATCATTCCCTGATTTATAATAATTAATTTAATAATAATCTTAACATTGTAATATTACAAAATAGCAACGAAAGTCTATTTGTCTACTTTGTTTCCTGCTCTGTCATTTTAACTTTTTCAATTCCGACTGATATTCAAAAGTCTACTGACTATTCTCAGACAAAACAATTTTAAAGTCAATAGTAACAGCCTCGTGTTTTCAGAGGCAACTTGGAAAAAGTAACACTTACGAAGGACAGACAATGCTCACCATGACATAAGCTAACTTGAACTTTAAGGTACTACAGATACAAAAGCTTACTTTTATTCATTGATATCACACAATAGTAATATTTGTTGATAATTCAAAGAATACTACCTCTGTTACATCAACGTCATAAATCCTGTATTTTTGCTTTCATCCCACAATATAAATCTTATAAATATAAATTTTCAAGAGAAGTCCTCAACTATCCATAATTAGTTGTGCTACTAATACTCTGTCCCTTTTGTAGAAATGACGTATTCAAATACCTTATTTTAACAAAACTAAATCATCTCATTTTTTCAACACCTGATATCATAAACAATTGAACCCTTTGTACAAGTCAAATGGAAAGCGACTCACATGCATGATCCCTGATAGCTATTGACATAACTGATGTTGTTGGCGAAGGACACCTGGGTGCACTTTTATGATGGCTTTCTGCCACAGCCTTCCCTCTGACATACACAGTGATTCGCTGTCTGGACCATACCACAGCAACATGAGTCCAGGTGTCGTCCATGATGTCCTCCACAATTAGTTCATATCTGGATGATGACAATAACATAGAACATAAGAAAAGTACTAGTCATATAAGGAGAGTGAAGTCAAGTCTTTGGGGGTTTTGAATTTCATTTACTGATCAACTAGTACCTTGGGCTCTGAAAGACCATCTTTCAGGCCATGTAATAATGGCTCATGATGTCACAAAAGTACCAAGAATGGTACTGTAAATGTTTGTGCTTTCCACTTTTGAATTTAAGGAAGGCGAATATAATTCATATCTTTCTTTCCGTTTTCAACATTTATTTAGTGAAGACAAGTCTTTGGGGGTTTTGAATTTCATTTACTGATCAACTAGTACCTTGGGCTCTGAAAGACCATCTTTCAGGCCATGTAATAATGGCTCACGATATCACAAAAGTACCAAGAATGGTACTGTAAATGTTGGTGCTTTCCACTTTTGAATTTAAGGAAGGCAATTTATATCTTTCTTTCCGTTTTCAACATTTATTTATGAAAATTGATTAATGATGAAAATCATACTAGTTGAATCTATGAACAATGGCAAAATCATCAGCATGCTCTGTTCCATCTGAAATTCAAACCACAAAACAATACATGTACTGGGATAAAGTGCAGAAGTCCCAAGATGTATGGATTAAACTAGCAGTACAGCCGAAGGGCCTGAAAGATTTCAGAAGAAAAGTCTGACTATCTATCTATTTTGCTGATAATGAAGATCGTGATGACTGTAAAAGAACCAAGGAACATTGTTCAGTGAGCTTTGTGAGCCACAAATTCAGAGTTATCACTAAAACTGGAAGAAAAAATATTTAGTTGTCTTTGTTGAAGCTATGCTATGATTCGACAGAATGTATCTAAATGGCTAAAACATTATCTTAATAACAAGTTATGGATAACTCTGATATTATCATAAAAGAAGGGACAAACAGGGCTTCAAAAGGACAAAATGCTTTTCATGCTAGAGATCACGAATATCACGCCCCATCTTGTGAAAATAAAGACAAACGGGTAAAACGTAAAATGAAGGTGCTGTTGGAGAAAGATGATCTTGAAATCAGTGAAGCTGAAAGTGACTATCTAAGACTCTAAAACTGAATACAGTTCTTTTATGGCCTCCCCAAGATACATAAGAGCAGAACAATTCATGCAGACATTAAAGGATGATGTCGTTGTTTCTATTAACAACCTTCTTGACCTTAAGGTCTGACCCATAGTTGCCGGATCGAGTCAAACTCCTCCCCGAGAGCAGAAGGTAGGTGGTTCGATCCCCGGACATTTTATAAAGACTGTACTTGTACTTACCCTGCCTGGTGCCTGGCATTAAGGGGATAAAAAAAAGGACTAGTCTACTCAGAGTAAGTATACTGTATACTGTGGGGTATTTATGTTAAACTGCGGTATGGTATATCTGTGGGCTAGCACTATAAAATCGGCATCAGCCCGGCTTGTACAAGCAGCCAGACACACAAAATCACGTCGCTGTATAAGTGCAACAATCTTGGACGCAATGTTAAACACATTTTCACCTCACCTCACCTCACCTCACCTATATTGCATTGGAAAAGTATCAGCCGATGGATTAGTACTCCACTCAACCATGACCTATGGGATTATAAGCTGTATGACAAGTGGTGAGTCTGACAAATGGGGAGACACCATTAATGTCACATCTCCCATCTTTCTTCAGTTTTGTCAGTAAACTGTAATAGTATTTTGCTTTATTATAACTTCTTCTTTTGCAATGCATAGAAAAGCTTTATGAGGAATTAAACAGTGTCAATCCAATCTCATTAAAATCAGATCTTCGTTCTCGCTACCGCTAAACAAAGTCCGAGGACATTCCATTACGGGTCACATCAAACCGATCTTTCCAAACTTTGACCGACCAATGGAATGACTGACAACAAGTCAACATTAGCCAACCAGAAAGCAGCTTTCTCGTGCTTTACGGCACTAGTTTCAAACTGCTGACTACGCTTTGAAACATATTTCGACAAATTCTCATTTAAACATTTGAAACTGAACAAAAGAACATTCTGGAATGGCGAAATGATGTCCTAGATAATGTGGATATAGTCATAAAGCCCGTAACTGTTGTTCGGAAACCCTGTGTTAAAGTTTTCAAAGTTACATGATTAAAAAACAAAGTCCAACTGTCACTATTATAATCTAGTAAGCGACGCTCTGATAAGTCGGATGAAAGGTAATTTTGACATGACCCGTAATGCAATGTTCCCAGATCTTTGTTCAGTGGTAGCAAGAACTAAGATATGATTTTAATTAGTTTGGTGTCTTACACACTGGTATTTTCATGCTGAGTAGGTGAATGAGAAAAAGACCCAAAACAACTAAATTAGCTTTGGTTGAGGACACAAGTTGTATGATGAAATTGGATACAAACCATAGACACTAAAAGAATGTACCTGTTTCTCAGGATCACTTTGATGCCTGAAGAGATGGACACTTCAATCCCAGTTTTTGTTATAGGACTGTAGATCTGGAATTTTATACCACCATAGTCTGGGTCTTCAACTTTAATCCACAGAGCAATTGTAAAGTCACAAATGGAGGATGGAACGCTGCCTTCTACTGGAATTGTAACAGGTCCTTGAAACAGGATATCATAGGCTGAAAAGATATATTTTATACATAAGCGGAGTAACAATTAAGACAATATTTAAATTAGAAGATTCAGATCTAACAATGGTGTCAATATATAGGTGATATCTTCACTTCATTGACTTACCAATTTAAAAAACCTAAAACCACAAGGTCATGTAGCTACCTTGAAGTTTTATCAACAGTAAAGTCATGCAAGGTCGAAGATGGAAAAGCAAAAGAAATAGCAGATGTCTCTTTTAAAGAGCCATCCTCACAGCATGTTCATTAAATTATACATAACTATGCTGAAGGCCGAATTACATGTATGAAGCATTTATGAGGAATTCTGTGAACAGATTTTACAGAAATAATTGCTAGGATCAGAAACGTTATATTTCAGCATCATCAGAGGTTTCAGAGGAAATTAAAAAAAACATCAGTTATTTGGTGATATTCCGCATGCCACATACTTACTGCATAAGGAATTTCATAATGATACTAACATTTTCCATAAAGCTGAAATTATGTGAGCACTTATTCCAGACACCAAAGCTGGTACCAACATTCACATTGTTAGGTAAAAGTATCTTGCCTCCAGCTAACATGATGAAGAGCCTTAAATTATTTCTGCTCTAATCACTTTTCATTCCATTCTAATGATATCATTTCTGGTTGGGAAAAGACATACCCTATGCAGCACAATTCTATAACAGAAAGTCAACCTCAAGAAAAACATTATACACGCTTGGTTTGAATGATATCTCTTCCCGTTAGGCTAAATGTCATTTTCTTACATGCTGATTCCCAATTGAAACACAGGATAACCCAGAAATTGGTACCTACAGATTTTTTCCTATTTCATAGTAGGCGGTGTTACACTTTATCGCTTAATAATGTTTGTAACGTCCACTCAATGCTCCCACTCCCTAGACCTTAAACCAACTATAATCTTTGTTCTTATATGTGACTCCCTGAGGGAAATGACCCTGCAGCAATACTGAAGTGACAATCTACATGAAAAACATTTCTTCAGACAGTGTTTTATGAAAACTAATTCAGAAACCAACCTAAAAGACAAAAACATTGCAATGACAGAGAATTGTACAAAGCAGTGTGTCCCAAATAATAATACAATGATTGCATATGTTGATCCTGTTAAGTATATCTCACCAATGCAGAGTGATGATGAAGAAGCACCTTCATCCAATGTTGTTTTGCCAGGGGGACATATGAAACACTCCACCATATTATGGCGATCTTGATAGGTACCACGTGGGCACTGGGTACAAGGAACTACACCATCCTTAGAGTATGTGCCAGCCACGCACATATCTGAAACGATAGTACAAGTAAGGTAAAACATTCATACACATAGTAGGTGGACCAAATTTTGCAATCATTAATCCTGTTTCATCTCCTCGAGGCTAAGGAAGTTAGCTGACTCTAAATTTCCAGTTCGTGTACACATTTCTTTTGGACACACGTGTAGTTGTTGACTTTGATGCTCTGTTTGACCCCACTTTCTAGGAGATTATGATGTTTTGTCAAATCCGTCATTGTTTTGATCCACTGATCACCAACATGTAAAACATAAGACCTACATATTCATCAGATTTATTCAACCGTGGATACTCCCTTCCTTTTATATAAATTGCAAAGAACAATGAAGAATAAAGCATGGTATATTTCACAATAAAACATTGTCCTGTCATGATGTCATTTCTGGAGATTTGAACATGTGCTCGCAACTTGATGCCCATTGTAAACTGGATGACGCTAATTTTGATAGGGAAGGGTCCAGTGAATTGTTTCCCATAGATGAAGTTCTGCAGATAATTGACGTGAAAATTGTCTTTACCAAAATAACCTCTCTCTCTCTCTCTCTCCCCCCCCCCCCCCCCCCCCCCCCCCCCCACCTCCACCTCCCCCTCCCCCATCACGTAAATTAAATTGACTTGTCCCACATTGCCGAGGTTGGATTGAATTCAGAAGTCATCATGACGGGTAAATGTCTTTGAAGCTTACACATTTTATTGACATCCTTAGGTTTAATTTACAAAATGTTGATATCTCATGCAAGAAATTAACGACAAGTGGGAGTTGTTATTTTCTTAAATAAAACATATTTTGGGAATCCGAACATCTGTGTGTGTCTTATCACACCTACCTTTGCAAGATGATTTGTCTTGATTAGCGAGAGTTAAGGTGGTCTGTCCTTCTGGACACATTGAACATGTGACTTGACCCTGAAGTTCCTGATATTGTCCATAGGTGCATGCCATGCACTCGTCTCTGGTAGAATTGTAGTAGGACCCCTTTGGGCAAGGTACTGAATGAGAGAGTGGTTGTATTAATCTAAATGATAATGACCTACCACTGGTTAGACTCAGTCATCAGAAAAGAAAGCCATATAATGTCAATCTTGAAATTAACGCAAGCATGAATTAAATGTGAAAAATGTGGTCTTTGTTCGCATTGATTAAAACTTCGCAATTATGTCTCCAATATGACTATTGATATTGAGTCGCATTTTTGGCTAGGGATCAGCAGTTGTATTAATTTGGAGACGCATTAGGTCCAAGATTTACAGTATATATTACAAACAGGAGACCACATTTTTTCCAGTTGTGTCCCGGTTCGCTCACCAACTGAAACTGCACGGTCGTCAATCACTCAGGCCCCTGGGACTGACAAATATGAACTTGGAAATGGAGATGGCGAACTTATATCCACAAATTACAATTGCTGAGTGTCCGCCCAACTCTCAAGAGAACCAGCCCAGTTCTCAAAAGGGTCAGCCCAACCCAAATGAAGGGAATCCCTTCACTCTGGTCACCAGAAAAACTGCCAACTGACTTATAGTCAAGCCGCACTAAATGTCCCTGGACGTTTTCAGGACAGATTCACGTTCTCAGGGAATAAAAAAGGTTGTCCAGGACAAACACAGTCAACAATATTCTATACGAATATACAAAACTGTCGGACCACGGGCAACAGGTGGAACTGTGTTGGATCCCCTCTCACATAGATATTCATGGAAATGAAAAAGCAGACTCACTGGCGAAGCTAGCTCTAGACAAAGCGGATATACAGCCTATTCCCTTTAGTAAACTAGAGATAAAAAGCAAAATCAAAGCCACTATAGGAGAAAGATGGCAAGTCCAATGGGACTCAAGTAAGATCGGCAGATGGCTATACAAAATTCAACCCAAGATCCGACAAAAGCCAAAAGGAAAATTGAAATTGCCATCTCATGCCTCAGACTCGATCACAAAAAGCACTAAGACAAGGTTTGTTCATCTTGTAATCAGGCTGAAATAATGGCTCACGTGTTACTAGAATGCCAAGATCATACCCCAGCCCGGCTCGGTTAAAACAAGAATTGCAGTTAGATCTCCTAAAGCCAAGAGATTCAATAGCGAAGGCCAAACTAACTCTATTTCTGAGGGATGGACAGCTACTCGAACGTATCTAAACAGAGCACCAAGGATAAAAATGAAATTATATCAATATAAGAAAATATAAATCATATCAATACAAAAACCGAAATCATGCGAATACCAAACTCAGCCAACAAACACACAGGAGTCCCGAAGAGGGACAGGTCAGCCGTAATTGCTTCGGCATAAGGCGACCTCTTAAACACTTGCAACAACAATAACATATATTTTTACTATCTCCAGCGATGACCCATCATGACAGATTGAACAAATCTGAAACTGTGCCATTTGGAACATTGATGGACTCTAACTTGAAAAGCAGCAACAACTTGATTTTTGTTTTCAAAACTTTATGTCATTGCATAAGACCTTTAAGGTATGAAAATCTAAACATAATCTGGAAAAATACTGAGTAAAAATGTTGGGCATTGTTTCCGACAATCAAATTCACTCTGCTATGGCAATGTAGCTCACCTTGATACGAAAATAACCTTTAAAATGTCAACAAGTAGAGCCAAAATGCAAAACAAGGTCCAAATTTAAAATATTGCAAAAATAGAATGTGTTGAGCCTCACTCACAAGAAGGATGACTGACAATGTGCCATGACATGAGCTCACTTGAACTTGACTTAATTGTCCTTATGGCCCCAATAGATGCCTGTCAAGGTACAGTAATGCAAATCTGATTGAATCAAAACTTTTCTCAGTCATGACTAGAAACTAGTTGGGAAAAGCAAGATCAAACTCTCATCATGTGGGTGGTCAGTTAGGCTCAGTTAGTTCAAATTCATGTAGTTTTGGCCAGAGCTGTCAACACCCATTGACTAGTGATAGGACAATTGCGATAGTGTGATGTTACCAGAAACGTTTAGTGGTAACAGAGTGGAGGAAAGGTGAAAAGTGAAAAGAAGGAGTTGAGGTTCAAGTTAAGGCATCAGAAATTTGAAAGCCTGGAAGATGCTTCCTGTAGGGAGTGGAGGGCCATTGAACTAGTCAATGGAAAAGAAAGGAAGTTGATATATGGGTCTGTTGGTCACCAAGTCATAGTGCTCAGGGGCCAGATGGATAGGCAGACAAGGAGAAGAAAGCATCTTTACATTCCGAGATCAACGACCTTAAAACCAAGTTGTCAGAACTCAGGACTTTGCAGGTTACGCCTGCACAATCAGAAAGAACTACTCAGTAGAGGTGCGAATATTGTAAACAAAGTGGACAGGGAGCAAACAAAAGAAGGAGGGTTGCTGGGTTTGTGGATGAATGGGACATATTTCTCTGGTATGTAAACAGAAAAGTCGGTCTCAATCACAGTGAACAGGATATTCCCAGATGTTTAGGGACTTAAAATAGGCTAAGTTTTCAGCTCAGGATCATGGATCATACAACAACAGGCTGTGTCTCCGACCAGTCGACTTACCGATCTGTCTGACCATGATCCATACTATCGCTCAAAATGCTGTGGATTCCAGGGGTCAGGGACATTTATAAATACAGAGTCAGTTATCCCAGACACGTCAGAAACATGAGGATTGTCTGTTGAGGAACAGCATGATCCATGTCTATCCATCTGCACCCAAATCTTCGGCTAACTGTTGAGCCAACCTCGACTACCCTCCACCCAAGCCTATGCCGTGGCTGCTTTGTATTTGTCATGCAAATAACAATCTCCAATGCACTAAACGGATGATTAAGTGATCTATTAAGCAGTCAACTTATATGACACATGGCTCTCTGCTTTTGCAACTACCCTCCATTGACGACAACTTTTATAGTCTAGTCAGGTTGTCTATGAATAGAATCAGTGTCTCTATGACAAAGTTCCAGGACTTTGAATCAGTAAATCATCTGACCATAAAAGATCTTACTTTTCTGTTTGATCCTGGAGAGCCCACTGAACATGAATGAAATCCTGCTCTTGAAATCTAACAAGGTAAGTTGACCTTTTGATCAAATGTTATTACTGGTTTTCGTACTGATATCTGGAGGTGATCTAGTATATTGGCTTTACGAAAGTAACGACAGATTAGACCACGTTAACACAGTATGTAACGTCAAAGCAACCTGAAGTGATGTCAATCGAACTGGAGGGAAATCACTTATAGAAATGGAAGTGACATCACAACCGGAAGTGATGTCATGGACCGGAAGTGACATCATGAAGATGCCAATCATCCCGGTATTTACAGTGAAAGTATCAAGGGATATATATACATAAATATAGACATGGGTTGCCAAAAGGAAAGCTGCCTAAACTAAGTAAAATACTCATATATCCCATCTTATGTGTTTTTTGAACCGCTAAGAAGTATTTCTGATTACTTGACCTAAAATAATCCCCAAACTCCCAATAAATTAAGTCTTACCTTTGAGAATATTTATTTCTGTTAAAATTTGGACCGTCAAATGACCATGTCTTGTCAATTTTAAAGTGATAATGCCTTGCTGAGCATTAATAAAATGATTGTCAATGTGATTGACAACTATAGTGAGCTCCTATTGAAATGTGTAAATATTGGTTCATTATTGTATATGTATGACAGGGGCAGTAATGAAGCCACAATATTGTAACAACCCCCAGCTGTTAATGAGAAAAGGTGGTATATGGAAGGGTGCCCATATTACCCAGGAATAAAAACTACGTTCTGTGACCTGATTGGTGTGGAGGGAGCATGGACTGCACAGCGGCAGTATATTGTATATCTCACTACAAATAAACAATGTGAGAACTTGACCATGGTGTTTTCCTTTGCTTTGAACAGATATAGACACAGATTCAGACGGCTCTTATGTTTAAATATATGACCAGCGTTACACAATCATATGTCAGACATATTCCCCAGGGATATGTAGGAAGTAGAGCAGGTATGATGTCTCTAATATCTGTAAAAAGCGCATTGTTTTTCAACTGTGGTAGCAGCAATGGCAGTCAAATATTAACTTACTCATTTTGAAGACTTCTGTGAGTGTGTATGAGGATTGATTAACAATTGCTACATGTACCATGATCTAACACATTTTGTAAGTACCGGTACTCACCACATGAATCTTTGTAGAAGAATCCAATTTTATGTCCTGGTTTACAAACAGGAATTACATCTCTCACTCGAACTTTTGAGGCCTTGATAAGCCGCCCACCAGCATGAAAACTTGATTTTGCTATTCTTACTGCAATGGACTTCAATCTTGAAGAATAGAGTCTCTTGTTTTCAGAAAAAGATTTTGACATCACTTGAGATCGGAGGACAATTTTAAAAGAAATGTAATTAGATGTTGTGGACACTGTTTTTCCTCGTCGTGATTTTATTCTCTGACTACGACGTCTACCGCCGCGTGTTGCACGTTTTCGGCGAAAGTCCAACAAGTCATCATCAACTTCATCCCCACATTTGATCTTGACATTGTCAATATGACAATATTTCTCCAAGCAAGCATTTATTGTTTTCATAGCATTCAGGAAGTTTATCCGGATTTCCTCCTTCATAACATCACATCTTCCAGTGAAGTAGTATATTTCATCCATACGATACCCTTCACTTTCTTCACGGTCTGAAATGTAACAATTTTGGATATGATTAAGTACTTAGCAAATAAATGACATTTAAATTATATTCAGCTTATAATTTTAAACACACTAGGCTGCTGTTTTGTGGACTTTAGGGCCAAGGTAAATCCTGCCATTTCTATGCATGAACCTGATGAGTGAAATCCATGCAGGAAAACTGAAACAAATCAGATATAGAGGCATGTGCTAGAGTGTAACAGAGTGGGTGTTTGTGGTATTCAAGAAATAAACGAGTGGGAGTTGTTTATCTCCCTGCAGTGTCTTATTGCACGATAAACAACGACAACAAGTCATTTATTTCTTATATGAGATATGATCATTTTGTACAGTCTCTTTAAGGATGTCAATAAATTGTAAAAGCTTTAAAACATTTTTCCGTTTTTTAATGATGACTCCCTTGATACATTTCAATTTCGGCAATGTTGGACAACTCCATTTAATTTACAAAGGAGGTAGGTTCGGTATTCTCACAATTTTCACATCGATTATCTACACCTTTTATGAGTTTTGGGTGCGATCGTTTGGTCATTGCGTTCATCTACACTGCCCAGCTACATCTACAGAGAACAACTCACCAGACACTCCCCTTTAAAAAATAATGTCGTCCAATTTACAACGTCATCAAGTTGCGAGCACATGTTCAATCCTCCAGCAATGATGTCATGATCGAGAAATGTTTTATCGTGAAATATAAGCTTCGTTCTTTAACTGTCTTTGCGATTTATTGCGTAGCTATCATATATACAACAGCAATGTGGCAAATTCAATGTTCACAGTAAAACAATATATAAGCCTATTGTATCTAAGTAGATCAATTATTTTATCCACTAACATCAAATTTCTTCATTTATGTGATCTTAATTATACAGAAGATTAAGTCTATAAGGACTGGTCCATTGCCACAATAGATAAATCTTGTATGTGTTGACTAGCCATCTCCACTCAACATGCGATATCATTCAAAGGACTGCCTAGTTTTGCAACCTAACAAATAATAGTTCAAACAAGATATATGTTAGCATGTTATCTAAATTTTTGCATACTAACTTAAAAAAAGTTACTTAATTAAGTAGAAAAAAGCAAGACAAAATTCGGAATTTTGGGATGTTTACGATAACATAATTGGATACAAATATGTTTCTGTTCTTTAAAAAAAAGGGCTTGTAATGAAACTCATCACCGATGTTTCTTGTATCCCAAAATGGACGTAGTCTATTTGTTAATGGTATTTTGTTCCATCTGCCTTTTTCAATTGAAAGTTGATGATTTGAAGTTAAATAATGAGATATTGGTACTCTATATTTATAATCCAAAAAATTAGGATATGGTTTAAAATATGAATTTAAATAGCTTATATAGAGTACATTTTGAAGAAGTTTCTAATTTGTTTCTCCATACTTGTAGACAATGATCATGTAATCTTGTGGAAATAACATTATTTGGCGAGACGGTAGTAAAACCATCAACAGCTGGGGTATGTGACAAATGGGATATGACAACATATAATTATGTTGAGTTCCACTTCTGACAAGAGACAAACACACGAACAACCCCTCTAAACGAAAACAAAACTCTTCCCACCCAAAATATCCTCTCTTCAGTCCGTTTCAGTAATCTTCACAGCAATTATCAATATATATTTGATTGAAAATGCACAGTCAAATTTTAGACCATCCTAAACAAATTCTGCCCTCAGCCAATGCTTAATATCAACAATCTTACATTCAGGTTCGGGATTGAAATTCTCAGACCATCAAATGATCTTTTGAATGAAGATTTTACTGACGCTTTAGGCAATATTCGATTTTCATCATGATGGATTTGTGCAAAAAAAGAGTTTATATTGTATTTACTCGCACGAAGCAAGGTATAAGACAGTTATACCCACATGTCCTCACTGCATCGATGTTTTACTGAGAAAACTGTAGGAATATTGACTGATACACCTCAGAACACGTGGGTATAACTTTACGAGGACCTTCTGTCCCGATGAGCTATAATGAAGCATGAATGCTTGGATGAATACAGACATTATGTATATGGTGTTATGTCATCGAGTTGAGAAACAAGGCTACCTATGTATTTTGTTGATTTTTATAGTGATCAAATAATACATTTTAGTGAACTGACAAACTATCAATATGATATCAAATAAGATCCACTATTCCATGACATATGTGGCATAAACAAGAGTATATGTGTGTGATATATGTTGCTGTTGCTTATTGGATTTCACACGGTGGATATCTCGCCTCTGGAATTGCTTGACAACCGAGATGGAGATGCTGGTAATTGGCCACACTTTTGACAAACGAACGAGACGGAGCCCATGAAACTATACACCTGATACTATAGTATTTGAATGGTGTTAGAAAACGGTTTCAGAAATGTTAGACCTTGTGTCACTTGACTACATGGCGCCTAACACAATAATAGAAACTAAGGAAGAGTAACTAACACTTACATGCACAGTTGGGTACAATACTATTACTCCATATGCCTGTATCAAGTGTACACAGATACAGCTTCTGTAGGGAGACAGAGTCCGGAATGTCATATTCGTCATTACACTGTAGCTGACATTGGCTACCCCGTGTCCAAGTGTCACAGGCCATGGCCCCATTGTTTGGAGCAGGTAGTTCTGGGCAGCTGTGAACTGAAAAAATAAACAGGTTGTAATGTAGGACCAATACTAGAAAATGTTTTTCAGCCCATGCAGTCCAAGGAAATAAATGCATCTACTTGTGTCAAAATGGATTTGATATAAAACAATACTCTTACTATTTCACACAAAATAAGGATGAATGCAGTTAATTTTATTTGGAACATGTTGTTAAAATATAGTACGGTAAACCAAGTTTATAATGAACACGCTTATAACAAACTTGCGGATATAACTAAATGTTTTTTGTCACAGACATTTGCTGTGTATATGTTGTATATATGCTTATAACGAACAACGGTTTTAAGGAATTTAATTAGTGGTCCCTTTGAGTTTGTTATAACCATGGTTAACTGCATATAATTTGATTTTTACATCAATCATGCAAGATATTACGTAACCCAATTGATTTTCTTTCCTGTAGATATTTCTTCTTCTTTTTTATCTAAGTATTTGAATCCTATCCCAGTTGGCCGAAAGACCAGCTCAGTAATTGTAAATATATCTTCTGTGTCTGTGTTCTTCCTCCTTCTATCAATGGACTTGTCAAGATAAGGACATCGCTAAGACTGATTTGTGGAACGGGGCCCATATGCTGTATTAGACCATTACTCTCCATCAAAGTCTGACAGAGCTCAATCCAACTAATGGCTGTTAGTGCTAAGCTATATCAAGTTTCGACAGGGTATGACCTGTCCTAGGAGGCTGCAACAGGTCAGGTGGTGTTGAAGAAATCAATTCTTGTCTAGTCTACCGAATAACATGTTCCCGAGGCAAGGGAATTAATTGACTATATAGGCCAGGTTCCATCCTTGCCGAACTAGGCTGGAATTTCTTGGCTCGATCGAAGCGCCACCAGTGGCTATTACAAACGATGTCCCTTCTATGTGCCTCCTACTGACCAATCAGATTTCACTTCTCACTTGCACATCCTTCAAACAAAATGGCAGCTCCCAGTCAAAATTATCTTATCGATAATCAAAATCTATATTGTGATAAAATTGGTCTTATTCCCGAAGTGCATCAAATCAAGTGAGCACCTTGATTAAAAACATGAAAAGATTTGTAAAATATCTGTTGACACAGAGTTGGCAGTACACATCCTTTGCACATCCTGCAATCGACAATCTACATGATAGTTTACAAACCAGATATTGATTTCTCGATTGGACGATGCATAGACTCGTTAGTCCAGCCAAATATAACCCTTTATAATCTGTTAACTCCCTTGCCTCAGGAAGATGACTGAATCATTTCTGACTAGAAAACCAAGAGTTTCCTACTTTCAAAATACTAACAATAAAACCAAGAAAACACGTAACAAACAGCAATTGCTCATTATGACCTCTGACATTGAGTCGATAGCAGATTATAGCATTAGAATCATTCTATACAAAATGGTCTGCAAAACGACATACCATTGTCACATAGTTCCGTTGGAACACTGGCAGTGTGTCTGCATGGTATCACTTTTACTGGGGAGGGTATTTAATCAAAACTAAACTGAGGGTCAAAAGAAAGTATACTGAGTTTTTGTATGCTATTGAAACCTGAAAGAACTGTTGTTAAATATTATCATGTCTATATAATCATCACTCATTCCTGTAACAGATTGTAAAAATAAATCTGTGGCTGTGTAAATTTGTGTAAAAATACATTGGTTCAATGAAGACTGGGATAAGAGATGAATTTGCCACTATACGACCCCTAAAATGTTTGAAACATTATAAATATGCGACGAGAAAAGCAAGTTTATTGAGTTCAACTATAAGATGTCCAAGATACCCATCAGCAATTGCGTAATAACAATTACGTTTTAAAAGTTTAAAATATATATATATTTTAACCACGGGGTTTCTTATATATATTTTCATAATATCTGAAAAGTGAACGTTGTGCAAGAATTGCTCTTGCGCGGCACTGGATCTACCTTCGATTAATAAATTATGCAGAGATGTAGAATATTACATTTCCTATCTGATGGTATAAATGTAACTGCATTATTAAACCAGTTTGAGAAAAGACACTAAGTGTTGTCTAAGATTTGTCTGTTGTCTATGAGTTAAAAACATCAAAATGTCTCCACTTTTTATCGTACGCTGATAAAAGTACTGTAGGTTTTGTATTTTTATTTTTATTTTACAGCTTTATGGAAACTGTGCGGAAACAAAATACTGCCCAACATCTGAATGACATAAACACATATCAAATCATCATGGCACTGTTCAAAGTACCTCCATCGTGATCTAATGTATCCTTGCTTTAAACTTGTCAAATATTTGAATACTATTACTTGGGAACCATCCACTGTTTCCGAGCCACGGCGGGCGTTGGTGCCCTAGAAATTATGTAAGTCTCTCTGGACAAAGGAATGAGCAATCCTTGAAAAGTCTCATAACCACACGCACGCCTGCTACTCAGCGTATGGCATTTACCTATATTAAACAGTTAAAACAAAACGTCCGCTGTTGCTCTTCTAACGCCAGGTTCGTTCCATGGCAACACAATATCTCCCCCAGGCCGTTGATTCACGTCACTGACGGTATCATGCAGCGCAACCAGCTCAGTAAGCCCACTATTTCATGGCTTGCAGTTGCTACAGTCTGCTAACATTAGTGAGGGAAGCCAAGCTGCAACTTGTACAACATAAATACCTCAACTCACAATAACCAGCCCCATCAAACTAAGTTGACATGAGTTAGCCCAGGCCCAAAATGCACTTGTGGAAAGTTTCGAGTTTGAAGCAAATTAATATAAAAAAATAAAACTCCTATATATTGCTGCATGGGTTTATGGAAAATCACACACTGAACAGATAATGAAATTAGATGTATTTAAATAATAAACAACACGTTTTAGTGTATCTGTATTATGTTTAAAATGTAAATATGTCTTTTAACATACGGGTACAGGCAATCAAGTGGAACAGCCCTTCAATTACCCCTGTTTGGATTTTTAATTAATACGTCATAGGTCATCATATATTTGATTTTAAACCCAGCTCCAATAAAACATAAGGTTAATCTTAAATTCAGCATATTAGAAAGGTAATTGAATGGAATATGAAGGTTTTTTAAAATTTACATTTCAAATGTGCATTTTTCTGAGCACAGCGTTTATTGTAACATCTAATTTATTTCATTTGATGTCATCTTGACACTTTCTTTTGTCATTAGATTCTAACATGTATCAGGAATTCAAGGATGTATGAATTGCAGCTGACATTGAAATATACATGATGTAAAAGGTAAATTGTATTCTATTCAATTTTAAATATCATCATGCCTCACGCAAACCAAAGAGTCCAAAGAGTGAATACACTTTTATGGCAAATGCATCTTACCTTTGCAATAAGACTTTTCGCTACTTGGGTTATCGTATGTGCCATACACCCATTGACCTCTGATTCCGTTTGTCTCCTTCTTGCAAGTGATGTATTTCTCTCCTACCAATTTTATAGCCATGTCACATTCCAGTTTGCATGAGGCCCCCTCACGAAAGTTAAGGCAGCCTGGCGTATCCATGTACTCATCATCAAACCTTGGAGGATCACACGTGACAGCTATAAATGAAAGATTAATCAAACAGTATACACATCAATGAACCTGCAAAATTCCTAATGGTCCTATATAGAACAAGAAGACAATTAGAAGATAATTCTAACTGGAAGGGTGTTTGAACTGTAGCACCTTCCCCCGAATGCTTGGAAACTTTCCCATTAGAAACATCGTGAACCATTTTGACTTTACAACATCACAGTCCATTTGGCTCCAGATGAAAGCGATGAATTGCAAAATAACTCAAAATCGGGACTAGTGTATTAAATGTCAATACGGTAATTAACAGTCCCACCTATAGTTATGACCATCAGCAGTGACACAAGCAGTTCCGACGACGGGGTCTGTGATTGTGTCAGATTGAGATGAAAAGTATCACACCTCTTATGCTGTCATGCCCTGTACTGTTGTGTAGGACATGCAGTGCGTGTTTGCGCTGTTCCTCCTACTGTTGTACACCTTCTATTCAAGATGTCAACTTGTACACATACAAACATGATAGTTTCTTAAACAACAATTTCATGTGATGGGAATAAAAATATAAATTAGCAGATATTGTTGGGTACAGTGCATTAATTACTGTTTGGGGACACGGGTGGCCCAGTCGTCTAAGGCGCCGCAATTCGCTGTGCAGAGTTGAGTCCCTTGGGCACGCCAGAAACCTATGATTGTGGGTTCGAATCCCGGTTCGCCCCAATTATGTTTCTAGGTTTGTCAGCACCATACCCGTGCTCATGGGTTTCACCGAAGAGGTAAACGTCTAAGGCCTGCATCACTTCGGGCTTTTCTCCCACATTAAGCTGACACGCTGTGATATAACTGGAATACTGTTAAAAGCGGCGTTAAACCAAATTCACTCACTCACTCACTCAGTACTGTGTACCGTATTGACATTTAATAGACTATTCCCGATTTTGAGTTATTTGGCAATTCATCATTCTCATTTGGAGCCAAACGGACTGTAACCTTTCTATGACTTATGTTTTTCTTAATGTATAGACTCGTCAAAAATGAAACAGATGAAAACTATATGCCATATCTTGAATGGACTATGTAAGATGTGACGAATCGTCACATGGCACTGGCTTGTGGCAGATGTACTATTCTGGCTGCATGGAACTCTGGGTAGAGAGTATCTTTCCAACATGCCGCCCTTTTGTGCAGGTGTGATGTCGACTATTTGTGTCCAGACGGTTTCAGGGAAGAGATTTGTTTGTTTGTTGTTTAACGCCACACTCAGACATATTCCAGCTATATATCTGAAGATAATCAAGTCTTGACCAGACAATCCAGTGATTGATATTACATAAGCATCGAACCACGCAATTGGGATACGATGTCATGATCAATGAAGTCATAAAGCCTGACCACCCAATCCAATTAGTTGCCTCTTACGACAAGCAAGGGTTCATGAAAACCCATTCTAACTCAGATCTTAACAGGTCTCCATGAAAGAGAAATGGTTCAGTGTCTTGATGCATTTTGACTGAGATGATGCTGAGAAGAAAAGGAAAAAATATTGAATTTGCTGCATATTACTGTAAAAATCCTGTGTTCAAGTCGGGTCAGATTTGATAAACAGGTGTTTGAGTCAATTCTATTCTACAAATCAGAGCCCAATGATGGATCATCGAACATGATCTTAATTTAAACAGACATCAGGTCATACTTTAAACAGCACACCCGGAGTTGTTGTTGCATGCAAATCTTGTTCTTGTGGTTAATGAGTGAGTGAGTAATGTTTTACAACGCTTTTAGCAATATTCCAGCAATATCACGGTGGGAGACACCAGAAATGGTACCCATTGTACCCATGTGAAGAATCAAACATGGGTCTTCTGCGTGAAGAGCGAACGCTTTAACCACTAGGCTACCTCACCGCCCCTCTTGTGGTAAATGACAAGTATTGTTTGCTGACAGTTACTTACACTGTACTTTGACGAGGAAGAAACATGGATCGGCTTTGTTGTTAGATGAGTCTGTTGCTGTGAAACTAACAATGTGTGTTCCCACAGAAAATGATCCACCATTTTTGATTGCAGATGAACTTTTTAAAGGGATGGTTTCCTTCGAGTTGTCAGACACAGTGATGTCTGGCCAAATAACATGAGTAGTTGGAGCATTTGGGTCAGCTGTCTTCAGGATTGTTGTCGCAGGACAATTGTTGATTTGTGGTGGTTGAGTATCTGCATGAAAACAATTGTATCAGTTTGCAAGAAAACACATTAATCTAAGTTGGTACATGTTATCTTTAAGGCAGAATATCTTGAAGTTATCATGTTATCCATGATCACAAGGGATATTATTTATGAAAGCATCATGGAAACTGAAGTAACACTTTTCAACTGGCAAATGTGACATTATGATGAAAGATTATATACATTTAGTCATTCACAAACACTTTCTAAACTGGAACATGAAGTCATTCACTCTGACAGTCTGCATACACAACTATATAGTTCTCAATAGGCGCAAAATGGATGACACACAAGTGGTCCGAGTCTTCCATATTAGAGGGTAACTAACTAACCAAGGTAGAACAAAATGCACATGACCATGATGGAAATAGCACTGAAGAAATATATTCAGCAGTGATCGTTTTGTCATTAGTGTCAATCATGATGGCGCGTCCATATCAATTATCGATAGTTTCTTAGCAGAAAACTTGAATATCCCAATGAATTATATCGGTCTCTAGCTGCAGGAATGATAAATCCTTGAAAAGTTTCATACCCAATGTGTACCTGTTGCTCAGCATACACGCCACAGTCAAACAAAATGAACCCTGTTGCTCTTCTTCACCTTCTTCCTCCCTAGGTGATACCATTTAACATGTCTACAGTTTCTACATGGCTCAAGCATATTATAAACTGATTACAAACAATCAGTGTAGTTGCCTGATACATTTAATGTGAATTTGAAGGTGACTGATGTCCTACAGGCCCGTGTTATTCCCAAATCATAACTGTACTATAGCTCTCGTTCTTTTTAAACCATCAATATGATAATACAAAGGGATATCAGAAATATTTGAGCCTGGTATATTTTAGTGGCTTGTTGGCATCTCTACATGGGACATATATTAGTATTGATCTGTGTTAGTTGAGTCAGCTGTCATGATTTGGTGTGCTTCAGTCCAGACTTCGACTCTGAGATACCATACTCTACGTGGGCCACCACCTCTTATGGCCTGTTAACTAAATATATCACAAACAGAAGATTTTCTCGACCCAGGTGATCAGACCAGGATCCATAACTTTTATCAAGAGAGCCAACAAGAATTCAAGTAAACCAAGAAGTCTGAAAGCAACACCTTCTTTTTGGACAGCAAAGGCAAAACACATATCAAACTACTTATCATGGGGAACAACTATAAATGGTGGAGTTGAAACTAACTGGAAAGATGGTGTTTGTCTATCAAAGAGAAGCGATGCAGCAAACTTTGACAAGATGACCTGATCCATCATGTTGCCATTGCTGCTATACTGGGGATGTAGATATGAGCTTCTGCCCTATAAAACTCATTCATCAGATCTGGCCCACAGTCACTACCACCTGTTTTCATATTGGACAAATCACTTGCGTGGTCAGAGATTTCACGTATAGAAGTGTTGTGTGTTCTATGGTTATCTACGAGTGTATCACGGCATATGATGTCAAACTTCTGTGTGGTCCTGATTGATGTCTCAACATACTCAAATAGTGGAAATGCCATCTTCCCAAGGCAAGACTGTTCACTAGCCTGTATCAAAGACAAGTTTCCACTAGACTTTGAAATGTAGGCTGGTAGACGCTCTTGCCTCTGGAAGATGGGAAAGTCAAACCTCTGCTCACACGTAAACACTGTCACAGATGCCAGACATATGGTAGACCTGATTGGCGTGTGGGTACAATAGTCGAAGTCGAAACTAGTTATGGGAATCAAAAATCTGCATTTTAATGTAATGAATGTCTCACCTTCACACATCATGTCATATGTTGTCCATGTTTTGTCTTTGGTACACATTGTCCATTGTCCCCTGACCGGTGCATAGCCAATCTCCTCATCACAAGTCAACCAACAAATGCTCTTAAAAGTCTTCCCATTGGTACAGCGGAAGCTCTTGCCATTCTTTGGGAGTGTTAGTTCTGGACATTCAGTTGCTAAAAATACAACAGAGTGGGTCAGTCATCAAACAGTTTTTTTAATAACATATTAAACACCATTTGACAATGACAGAGCTTTTCTTTTTGATCTCTTGATAATAGAACAATTTCATGAAACACATGTTGTCAGCGGGATTCGAACCCACAAAGTCTGCACCGAAATAGTCTTCTGCCACGGCGACATGGAAAAAACATTATGAAATTAACAACTGAATATGTACTTCCTACAAACAGTTTCTCCGTCTGTGAAATATGCGTTTTATGTTATTCTGCGCGTTGTACGTATGTGTGAGTTGGTAGCTCTTTGTTCAAGAAACGAACAGATAGAAAAGACATAACTCTTATCTTGATAAGGTCTCTGTCTGTTCATAATAGTGGCATCAACATGGGCTTTTAATATCTAGGTGATTGATGGATGTGATCGAGTTGGTCCTATTTGAATTATATACTTAGCCCGGATATGAACGTCTCTACCTGAGTCTCGAAAGACCAAGGTGCTTGTTCGAAAGGCTCAGGGAATACATTTCAGGACTCACACAGTGTTCTCATAGTTGAGCATAAATTATATTAAAATATGGTTATCAAAACAATGTTAAAACAGTTTAGAAGCTAGTGTTCTCTGAATGTTGGCCATGTTTTCAGTAGGTTAGTCCATTCAGACCATGGAGTCTAATTGACAACCTCTACACTTAACAGCCTAGAAGTCTGGACTTGAGAAGAAGTCGGTGAAACTCACATATTAATTAACAGTCACATGTCATCAAACAGGTTTTGTATCTATTATCTTTTGAAACAAAACATGATTTAAAAATATTTAGAGATAAAGAAAAATAAGAACAATAAGAAATTACATACATTGTGTAGAAGCAATGGATTAGGTATGCACTGGACCCTTTTGTTGTTTTAAGGTGTAGAAGTTTTGGCAGATAGTCAGAAAGAAAAATAGTTTGTGGTCTAACCTTAGGTACAGCGCTGTCATCACACTATAAAATCATTTATATTTTCAACAGATGTCCTCTTCAGTGTCAGCTATTCCCATTAGCCTTTAGGAAAATATGGCTTCTGATAGTCCTGAACAGCTGACAGCAATGAAATATACATTCAGAAACGATAAAAAAAGGTACAATACTTGATTCTTCCTCTGAAAGTACCGTTATATTGACATATCTATGACGTCACTTCTGGTGTTATGACGTCATATCTAGGTCACGTGACATTACTTCCTCTCTGACGTCTATTTATCTCTTCCAGTTCCAATGATGCCACTTCCGGTTATACTGAGGTGACTTCCTTTGATGACGTCTGGTATTGTGACGTCACATCTAGGAGATGTGACATCACTTCCTCTCTATTTATGTGTGTGATCTCTTCCAGTTCCAATGATGCCACTTCCGGTTATACTGAGGTCACTTCCTTTCATGACGTCACTTCCAGTTATCTGACATCATATGGTGACTGCATTATGGTGTCATTCCGTTGAACCATACAACCCTTCAAGATGTTACAATATGAGTCCAGCCATTAACCTTAGATCTTTCACATCATTGCCACAAATGATCAAAAGGCTAACTTACCTTATAAGGTTGTAGTTGTTGAAATCGTTATACACACATGACCTGAGAAACAAAATCCTCTGCTTCTACTGACGGTCCCAGCGAATATAGCCCTCAAGATCAGGCTGGATATCACGCAAGTAGAGGTGTTGTGGGATTTCCACTGACATCTTGTCTGACAGAGACTGAGTTTCATGATGCTCAGCTGGACGAAGGTGGAAATGCATATGCAAACAGTTCCTCCAAACTCATGCATTGTACATCTACCTGTAGAGCTAGTGGGTCCGGTACTGGAATGACGTATTCTGGGAGCTTGTTGTTGAGATGGCAGAGAGACTGAGATGTGGAGTGTCCACCTTGGCTGTTATCCACTGAAACACTTCAGGATGTTGGGACGATTCTGTCGTTAATATCTTGTACTTCCATGTCAGACAGTATGTGGAACTTCCCTGGTGTGTGACAAGCTTCCAGTCTGCAGCGGATCGAGTCTGTGAAGCCAGATAAACGTTTAGTCTCCCTCAACAAATTCCTGTTCCCCTTTGTCTCTGAATATAGGCTACCACTTAGGTGTTGTCTGCTGCAACCAGAACTATTGAGTGGTCCAAATGGCGACTCCAAGCCTTGATTGCTGTGTATATCGCTTTCATTTCCAGACAACTGATCTATAATTCCATGTCTGATTCTGAACATCCCTCTTGGACTGTAACTGTGTCCATATAAACACCCCAACCTACGCCCAAAGTTCTGGAGAGGGGAGTATTAACATGATCAAGGAAATCCCTGTCATGACGATGCGAAGATTTAGATGATCAAATCAAACAACCAAGTAGTGGGAGGTTGTATCTATGTCACTAGATAGCGAGATCTAGTCCAGTTCATCCATGTTTGTATGGGATGTAGCTGAAGCCTTCCTCTCTATGTAACGTCTTTTGGAGAGATGTGGGTGTCCCTAGACATGACATCCACCAACGGCAAATCGTGTGCGCCTTGTGTCATGTCCTCTGCCTTCAAGTACCTGTCCTCTGGAGGGCCTAGGATACCTATGTGAAGTTGACATCTGGCCCCGATGTAGACGTTGTCTTGTAATGGTTTTAATTCGGTGGGGTGAACCAGGAATCCCAGGTAAGATAGCAACTGTATCAGAAATCTGCTTTTTTGTTGGATTTGAGCTTGATTCTGAACTACAGAGAGAAAGTCGTCGATGTTCGATGAAAGCCTGACAAGATGTTCAAAGCCTATAGTCGATGAGGTTATCAAAGGGAATAGACGGAGATACTGGGACAACTTAGATGGATGGGGACATGAAGAAATGCATCCTGTAGATTGGAGCTGATTAACTCATCTGTTCTGCGATTCTTGATCGATTCCAACTGAAACTTTGGCGGACCTACAAGATAATCTTTGATGTGGAACTTCAAATTGATTATCATGCATATGTCTGACATACTTTTTTTCAGCACTAGGGAGACTGGTAAATAAAACCCCATGGGGGTGTCTGAACGTCCAAGTGCATGAATCAACCCTTTGACTTGTAGATTCCGTATGGCACATTGAATTAACTGACTATTGTTTTTTGCAAGTGCTGAATGGAAGTTGAAATATCCTGTCCTCATAACTTTGAGTAATCAGCGGTTGGTCGTAATGAGCTTCCAATTGTCGGCGTAATGTCAAGTAGGGTAGAGACGTGCTTCTCCTTCCAAACCGGGGCAACAAAAGGCTTTAAGGTGGGAGACTCGATGGGTCACTTTTGAGTCTTCACACTATGTTGACAGTGGAAACCTGAAGGGTTTCTTTGGTTTCCCAACGGACCTCGTCCAATACCATGTGAAGTTCCTTGTTAAAGAATTCCGGTTATGTGATTGGCTGGGAGGTAATGGCTTTCTTGACGGGCTCAGATATTCGAGAGTAAACCAATTTCATCTCGAATGGTGTATCTCCCGGCAAGTCCCCAAAAACCTAATGAGGTGAGGTGAGGTGAAATTGGGTTTAACGTCGCGTCCAAAATTATTGCACTTATATAGCGACGTGCATGTACGTGTGTGTGTTTGTGTGGCTGCTTGTACTAGTCCGGACTGATGCCGATTTATAGTGCTAGCCCACTGAGATACCATGCCGCAGTTTAACATGAATACCATACTCAGACACAGTATACTGACTCCAAGCCAACCAGTCCTTGTTTTATCCCCTTAATGCCGAGCGCCAGACAGGGTAACAACAAGTACCATCTTTTAACGTCTTTTGGTATGACGCGGCCGGGGATCGAAACCCGGACCTTCCGCTCTCCGGGCGGACGCACTAACACTCATGATGGGGAGGCAACATATGATGTACTCCTGCCACAAACCAAACGATGTAAGCACCAAAATTCACCATTTGACTGTTGACAGTATCTGTATCCTTCAACTTAGACATCTAAACGTTCATCTTAGTTGACAGAGGCTTGACAGAGTCAGAAGAAGTCATCATCAATGGAGGGCTGTTGAGAGAATGGCGACCCATGAGTCTTATACAATCTTTTAACAATTTGTGGCAGATCTATCCTGTCGTCCAACTTAATTTATTCATTACACCAGAGCATGACATCTTCACCTTCAAGTCTGGGTTAGACACGGTGGCGGTGCGCTTTCACACACTGGAGCATGAACCTGCTCCTTTACATTTGGGTTAGACAGGTTTTCCCACGTAAGCATGTTTAATCTTTTCTTTCCCATCCAGGGGAGAACTGGAGCCGAATTCCTTCCTGGTCCCAATTCCATGCATCACCTTATCCTTTGAATGGGTGGAATATGGTTAGGGCTCTGTCACTAACCCTCTGAATTAGGCGTCTCCTCGTCCTTGTCTCTAGCCAGTTTCCCCTTCTTCAGGCTCGCAGGTGTAAGAGAAAAATTTCTCCGATGAACGAATCTTCATTGTCGATGTTGATGAGGTGGCAGAATTCGAGGCATCCATTAATCTTGAAATGATGTAGGGGTGCAGAGGGCACAGCTTGAACTTAGTGTGCATAATAAATCCCTGCACCTGTAACACGTTGGCCGAGTGTCCCCGATGGCACGGACAAGGCTTGCATCAAAGGGACGAAGAAGGAAAGTCCATCTCCACAATATGCTCAACAAACAATCTACTTATGTGATTATCCTCTCTGAAGAAAAAACACATAAGTACTACATGTGTACCATAAAGTGTCTGTTTAAATGGAAAACCTTACAAATTACAGTGTGAAAACAAACCAAACGTGTGCTAAACTCTCTGAAAATATAATCAGTGTCACAGGAACGAAATGACATTTTCCCGCCTCACGTATGTGCAGTAGCGATGTGAGTGGGATAGGGTTATCCTTAACCCTTAATTGGGAAAGCTGACATCGAGCAGGACGTCTGATGAAAATCTAAAGGATTACATGTGATGACAGCCAAAATATGTGAAATTTATGGCTATGATCTAATAGAGGTATGGTGTTCAAATCAATTATGTGGTGCGCAGCTGTAGCTATTTTAGCCCTATAAATTGTTCTTTCGGTGTACCTACCTTGACACTTAGGTATGTCAGAGCTCCATTTCTCGCTTACCAAGCAGTCGATTTGAGATGCCCCAACCAATTTGTAACCCTCTTCACATCTGAATGAACATCTCCCACCATAGATGTAAAGATTACACGTAACATCCCCATTCCGTATATAATGAGGTGGACGGCATTCCTTCACTGAAAATATTCAAATCAATGAGTATTTTAATTACACTGATTTAAATTCAAGGTATTCAACAACAAAAAGTACAATAAATTCGGAGATTATTATTTCCTATATCTCAAATTTGCTTAGAAATTCAACAACACTAGAAAGGTCAAATCATTCTATCACTTGTAGGTATTCTTTGGCATAAAAGTTGCAGGAAAGAAAGAATCCTGACAATAACATGGCATGGACCGTTGCTCATGCCATACACTGTTTCTGTTGTTTTCCAAATGAAGTTTTTTCTTCTGAAGCATTCAACTAGATATGTATTAAATACAGTCTATGATGGCCACCTTTGAGTTTTACAGTCAAACACTATTGTGTTGAAGTTGAACGGAACTATGTAAATTCTTTGACTTATGCAAGGTTAGAAAATAATTACTAAAAGAAAAAATAGATTTTACCCATCTCTGAGATACTTCACCTGGGCTAGCAAATGTTCTTTGTCAATTTTGTTTATATGTTGGAAATTGTAGAGAGTGTGTTGAGTTGTTTGGTATTTCAGTCATAAAATGGTGGGTCATCTTAAGCAAATTGTAGTGCATCAGACAACTGCGACACCTGTATGGCTCAAAAGTGTAAATACAGAGATATATGGCTGGCTTTGATAATAACCTATGCCTTTTTGGCAAGTCAGCTCTCTGAGTCGGTTGGTTTCCAAGAAGGTGATGCTTAAACATGTTCACCAAAGGAAGACAAAACAAATTCAATTAAAAAATGTTCCCAAACCTTTTCAGGTCTATAACATGAACAAAATCCAAGTTATATTATGGCCCAATACATCTTCATAAAGATTCAGGCCGTGTAATGTCTGGTGACCTCATAATTAGCAGTGTTCAATAAGCTCCAATATATACAGATGTCTGGAGTCATCTAAATTTAGTTCTCATCCCTATCCTAACTAACTAGCCTATTCTTCCTTGACTACACTATAATTGAAGACTATCCGTACCCTCCACATAAAACTTCATCATACAGTTAGGAGATGGGCCTCCACTGTCCTCACTTGATTACACTACAAGTGAAGACTCTCCGTACCCTCAACATAACAATTCATCATACAGTTAGCAGATAGGCCTCCACTGTCCTCTCTTGATTACACTATAAGTGAAGACTCTTCGTACCCTCCACATAAAAATTCATCATACAGTAAGCAGATAGGCCTCCACTGTCCGTCACTGTGTATGCTACAGCATGGCTTCCACGTCCAAACTTGGATCCTGACCCCTTGCCACTCTTCAGCACAGCTCTGCAAGGTCAAGTGAACAATCAGAAATATTCAAGTAATATCTCATCAGCCTGTATATATTAAAATTGAGTCTGGCCCTGACATACCTAATGCTGATCGCATGAGCACAAATCCACTCTTTCTTGTCTACAACATTGGTCAGTTACTGAAATTTAAAGCTGCTTTAATTAACCATGTGCATTTCCTTAAGTAAGCTGAATTGTTTTCTGAAACTATTTCATGTTACTACATTACCCAATTGTAACCCCTAGTTCCCCTACTGTCACAAATATTTGAATACACAATGTCATTTAGAAAGTTGTCATATGTAACAAATGTTATATCTGAGATAATATTTCCTTAGTAAAGTACAAATTCTAGTTTGGGGTTGCGTCTCACCCGGGGCCACACTCTCAGAGTGAGACACCAAATCGCCAGCACACACAGTCCGCGATCTAAACCAATCAGTCACCGAGGCTTCCACAAAATGAAAGTCCGACAACTGGTAGTCTAGATCACGTACTTTGTGTACCCTTCTGATAAGTCTAGGTTGTCATATAGAAAGCGGTTAAATGTAACAAATGTTACAAATGTAACAAAGTCAAAAGTGCTTACACAGATTTTATTGGGTATTTTTAAGCGAATCATCGGTAGATTGGGAGAAAACGTGTGTACAGCTGGTTGCTGTTTTTGGCTTAGTTTATGAGAAAAAACACATGGCAATCTTAATCTCTGCATATAAAACAATGCCCAGCAGAACAGGAAATAGAATTTAAATGGTAAATCATCATGTCTAGTGATGATTTGCTTCAAATTTGTATTGACCAAGTTCGTATTACCGGTTCGTTTACATGAATTCGCTTAAGGGAAATGATGTAATTTTTTAGAAGCATTGTAAAATAAAACAACGGAAGAAAACACATTTTTATTGCAAATGTAGGTATTTTTATGCGCTGGTGATGTGCTTCATTCCGGATGGCATAATAGACAGGGTATGTAAATTAGCATCAATTTTGAAGGCTTTTCACAGGCCGGTCGCCTTATAGGTGGATCGCTTTATAAACATCGATATACGGTACTTACGTCAAGCTTGAATCTTCGGGGTCACTGACTGTAGGTGTAGACCAGTGTACTGAAGTTGTCGTCTTTCTTTTGTCAGCAACCCAATTGCCTTTAATAGTTGGGCATGTTATGGAAGGTGGTTCATTTGCTGAAAAAGATTTTATTGTTGGTGTAAATGTGTAGACAGAGGCCATTTTCACCAACATATTTTACATCTTCTCTCAAAATGCTGTTATATACCAATGAACTAAGAAAGAGATTGATCTAACTAAACAACAGGGTCCCAAATATTATAGGACTAGATTATCCATCTACACATCAAAAATGCGCATTTCAATTAAGATAATGGTAATGATCTGGGTTTAACAAGTGCATTAATATATTTATATTACATTTACCACTGCAGCCATTTATGAAATATATATTTTGCCCATTGCTCAGGTATTTCGTCATGTATCTTTATGAAATTGTGCTAATAACAAGTTTCTGTTGCATATTCCCGAACAGTATTTTCACATATTTTCACAAGTTTACAAACCTACATTCCATGATCAGTGCATAGTTTAATGTATATGCTGTATGTATCTATTATGCAGGAGCTTGTTACTAATTTCAACATTGTTTTTTACCAATTGAAATCTAAAACAATTCAGGAATGCTACAGAGCCATGTGGCTCGATTATTTTGTTTGCACAATCGTGCAGCATTCTAAAGATGTTATCATAAGGTCAAGATCACAATACAGTCAAACAGCATTGTGTTGAACTTGGATGTGTTGTCTCAAAATAAACCTTGGTCCCTGTGTACTCCTTCTTTAATTATTATTTTCGGATAACTTGAAGTATTTTAAGTAGGTCCCTACAACTTTGACACAACAGTGTTTGACTTTACGTCAATAAGTGTTTTGCAAGGCAGTAGTAACATCATTTAAATATATTTTCTTGGTGGGAACTAATAACCATTCTCATGACACCAGTATTGGGCTACTCAAGGGGGCACACATGGAATTGCAAATGTACTCCCAAACTGGGTTTGACATCATCAGACTTCATCCATTATGCACTATTTGCACATGAGGTTAAATACCCATTTTAATAATTTGATACATAGGGAAATATAACTTAAAATGTCTCTATTATTTATTTATTTAATAAAATAAGTATTCACTGACATCTATAGCTCTGAACGTCCAAAAGTTAAGGCGACAATCATGAAAGGTAGAATTAAAGCTGTTATTTACACTCCCATAATTTGTGCTGATAACATTTTTGTAGTAGTTGTATACAGGGGATGAGTATTATTCAGAAGCTGACAGAGGATTAATGATTGCATAAAGAGCAGTATAAAGAGCAAATGTGATTGAAAATGTGATTGGTCTATGCCTAGTCGTTTTTACAAAATTTTGTGTATTTTTTTCTTTGCAAATAAATATTGTCTTTTAAATGCAGAATGATGCATCTGAAGGTGTGGTTGCTGCTGCTGACAATAATCTGTAGTGCAGAAAGGCATGTAGAAAGGCATAATCTGTAGTGCAGAAGGGTGCTGACCTTAATCTGTAGTGCAGAAGGGTGTTGACCATAATCAGAAGTGCAGAAGGACATGGACCATAATATGTAGTGCAGAAGGACATGGACCATAATCTGTAGTGCAGAAGGACATGGACCATAATCTGTAGTGCAGAAGGACATGGACCATAATCTGTAGTGCAGAAGGGTGTGACCATAATCTGTAGTGCAGAAGGACATGGACCATAATATGTAGTGCAGAAGGACATGGACCATAATCTGTAGTGCAGAAGGGTGTGACCATAATCTTTAGTGCAGAAGGGTGTTGACCATAATCAGTAGTGCAGAAGGACATGGACCATAATCTGTGGTGCAGAAGGACATGGACCATAATCTGTAGTGCAGAAGACATGGACAATAATCTGTAGTGCAGAAGGGTGTGACCATAATCTGTAGTGCAGAAGGACATGGACCATTATCGGTAGTGCAGAAGGGTATGGACCATAATCTGTAGTGCAGAAGGGTGTTGACCATTATCTGTAGTGCAGAAGGACATGGACCATAATCTGTAGTGCAGAAGGGTGTTGACCATAATCTGTAGTGCAGAAGGACATGGACCATTATCGGTAGTGCAGAAGGGTATGGACCATAATATGTAGTGCAGAAGGGTGGTGACCATAATCTGTAGTGCAGAAGGACATAGACCATAATATGTAGTGCAGAAGGACATAGACCATAATCTGTAGTGCAGAAGGACATGGACCATAATCTGTAGTGCAGAAGGGTGTGACCATAATCTGTAGTGCAGAAGGACATGGACCATTATCGGTAGTGCAGAAGGGTATGGACCATAATCTGTAGTGCAGAAGGGTGTTGACCATAATCTGTAGTGCAGAAGGACATGGACAATAATCTGTAGTGCAGAAGGGTGTTGACCATAATCTGTAGTGCAGAAGGACATGGACCATTATCGGTAGTGCAGAAGGGTATGGACCATAATCTGTAGTGCAGAAGGGTGGTGACCATAATCTGTAGTGCAGAAGGACATAGACCATAATATGTAGTGCAGAAGGACATAGACCATAATCTGTAGTGCAGAAGGACATAGACCATAATATGTAGTGCAGAAGGACATAAACCATAATCTGTAGTGCAGAAGGACATGGACCATAATCTGTAGTGCAGAAGGACATAGACCATAATCTGTAGTGCAGAAGGACATGGATATGGACCATCACCTTCTGCACTATGGGACCCTATTCTCCGAATGAGGGAAACACATGATGAATCCTGGACCAACATGTTCTCTTTAGAATTACTTGAACCTTATCTTCTAAATAAACGTATGAAATACCATCATGGTCTAACCAGGAAAACACAACATTCAAAATCACACACTTCCATGTGAGCTGCCATCCTAAATTGTGTTCATACTTTTCATTCACAAGCAAATAAAGACATAAAATATACATATTCCTGACACACCTAAAATTAAAACTTAAATCCATTAAACATTCAAAAATATGTTTTCACAAAGCTGCAATTAACTTTATTTAGTGCTTCAAGTGATACTTGTATATATTGGATTATCCAGTTTGACATACAAGGAGGTCCATTTAGATGGGCTTTCATTTGGCTACACCAAAAATGAAATATATAACCAAAAGCACTGAACCAAAATTCTTCATGGCTTTTGCTTACTTATAGCATTCAGACATTTATTAAATGGGAGTATTAAATAAGTTCCTGTTTCTAAAAACATGCTTACTTATTTGAGGTTAAATCAGAAAATCTACTGGTTGAAGCGGCCTTTTTAGAAAAAATATTAGTATTTCCAGTTTATGCTGGATTAAAATTTTAAACCAGAGGTCCCCAGGATTCTAGCTCAGATTATAACAAAGTTGTCAGCACTGCTAGTTTGTAAAATGTCACCTCTGGTTTTTTCTTTCTGCATATGAAACTTTCCATGAAAATTCCATGGTTCTGTTTACTCTTGTGCAAACTTATTAGTTTCAGAAAACACATTCTTCGTGCCTGAAACGGGAATGTTCCATGGTACTAACTTGGAAGTGATGAAACTAGTATTATATGTCTAGTTTGTCACTAAAATAGGCAGCAGCTTCTGTGTTAAAACTAATTCGCAAAAAAAATTATTTTCCAGTTACTTAATTTACAATAAAGTTTGTCGTCTTGGGAAATTCCTTAACAGCACTAGAAAAAAATAACTTTTAAAAATTCCTAAGGAGAAAAAGGTACTGGTTCATTGCTAGATGTGGGAAAATATATCAGTTTATGGTCTCTGTCTAGCCTGATAGCTGTGCAAAGTTTGGACCAGAAATATTGAACCATATTTGGATTATGCTCTAGAAACAAACCCTAACCTGATTGATTTAAATTGTTGTCATGGAAACTAAACAAATATGTTCCTATTATTCCTTAATAGAAGGACCGCCTCCGTGGTCTAGTGGTAGAGCGTCCGCCCGGAGAGCGGAAGGTCCGGAGTTCGATCCCCGACCGCGTCATACCAAAAGACGTTAAAAGATGGTACTTGTTGTTACCCTGTCTGGCGCTCGGCATTAAGGGGATAAAACAAGGACTGGTCGGCTTGGAGTCAGTATACTGTGTCTGAGTGGGGTATTCATGTTAAACTGCGGCGTGGTATCTCAGTGAGCTAGCACTATAAATCGGCATCAGTCCGGACTAGTACAAGCAGCCACACATACACGTACATGCACGTCGCTATATAAGTGCAATAATCTTGGACGCGACGTTAAACCTCATTTCACCTCACCTCACCTAAATACAAAGGGCACCATTTCATGCCAAGAATGATGCAATGTTTGGTCCAGATATATTGAACGATCTTTGAGGAATACTCCCGAAGCAAAACATGACGGCAGGACAGCACCAATTCCACCCTCATTTTAAAAAAACAAAAAACATTTACCCACTTCACAAGAATTGCTTGAAAGATTGCATATGGGACGAGCATCGATGTTGAGACGACGAATGGAGGTTATTCTCATATTATACTAACGTTTCTTTCAATATCTTTATGATTCATCTTCCATGCGAAATTTGACCTAACTTTAAATACAGTGCCACAGACTTTTTCAAACACTTCACAATATCCTTTGACGTAATATGTGATATCTTGTTGCCAGACGCACCGGCAAAACAATGCCCTATGACGTCAGCGGTCATCGAGTGTGCATGAGCTCCTAGTTTTCGGCGACCTGTCATCTCCACGCCAAGCGATGTTGCGAGTTTTCAATATCTTGTTTACTGAATATAGTCAAGCGGCAGCGCATTTTATAACAGGCGACAGTTTATGAAAGTAGTTTATTTTCAATATTCTATTTCGGTTTCAACTTAATTCATGTGGGTAAATGGATCATAAATGGGAACGATTGGGTTGGTTTCGTTATTATGCACAAGACTGTATCCTCTTTATCTCCCGGGGTAGCATTTCCCCCGTCTAATGCATTTTCAAGCATTCGAGTCGAAGACACGAAGCGTGCGAATAAATTCACTTGTCAGGGTATTCTTCTTTATTATTGTTTTCACATTTTCAGTTGCATTTACTCTTCCCACAAAAAACGTTGAGTAGTACGAAGTAGTTTCATGTCAAATGTTTTGGCTACAGGAAATGTCATGGAATTTCAACCCAAACCACTTTCACACATTTCACTTCGTCAGTAATGATTCAAAAGTCAGCACAGAAAAATTGCACAGTGATCTATTATCTCATATATTTTACTTACATATGAATTAACGAGTGCGTATGAATGGCGATGTTTTAGTAATTCGTTGGGTGCTTTTGTCTATTCGGCTCATACTTTGGCTCACAATTGTTTAAATATGCATAGGAAGACTATCGTAGCAATAATTAGGGAAATATATATATAGATGCATTACAATGAGTTGGAAAATTCAAGTGAAATGGTCAAATTTTCCGTTCCGTGTGACACCATGACTGACGCAAAAGCACGCACAACAACGGCGGTACTTATCTGAAATTCTGACCAGTTCTCTTAGTCACACTGGAAGACATGGAAACTAATAACAATATGCAGAATGTCGGATTGTTTCTGATAACTTACATGACACATTTATATATTTTCTCTCCCAAAAAAATAATAGCGGGAAAGGACTATAGCTGTAACCTGACAATGAACAGAACACGTTGGCGGTGTATTGTAAGCATTATGGAAGACGATATTTTGGGGTATCTGTGATGGACTATGCCTTGTTGGTCAAACATTCGTATGTATACGGCGTGACATGGTCCGAATCAATCTCCCAATGACCAGAGACCATGATTATATTTTATGGTCACTACAATGACAATTTGATGGAGTCTTGTTTACTCTCTTGCAACGACTGGCCTGGTCGCGTCTAACGTAGCGGGTGGCCTTTGGCGTGCTCTATGGGGGAAAGGTCAGGACTCATGGCTGACCATTGCATTCCGGTGATCTTTTGCTTCTGGAGTAACGATACGTACACGGGGGGCACTTGCGTTATTGTCTTTTAATTCCGGGGTTACGTTTTGGCTGGACTAACGAGTCTATGCATAGTCCAATCAAAATCGAGGAAAGAAATAGACACCCGGTTCGAAAACAACATGGAATCTATGTGCAGATTTCAATTGATTGCAAAACATGTGTACCGTCAACAGGAGTTGATAGATATTTTCCAAATCCGAATATTTTTAATCAAGGTGCTCAAATGATTTGATGCACTTCGCGACGTAAGACTCGTTTTGTTACAATATAGATCTTGATTATCGATCAGATCGTCTTGGCTGGGTGCTGCCATTTTGTTTGAACCAAATGCAAGTAATATGAGAGGTGGAATCTGATTGGTCAAACGGAGGGACATAAAGGAACGTAACTCGTAATAGCCACGAAATTTCAGCGTAGTTTGGCTAGGGTGAAAAATTGACTTTTCTTGTCAGTTAACAACCTTGCCTCGGGATTACCGTCGGCGATGACCCAGTTTCTACGATCTAAACCCCAGTCGCGTCTGTCAAGAATGTGTCGATTAGAGACGTGGACGCTGAGCATGCAGACGAGTTCTAATCGTCTGGTCTCTAACTTGAAATCTGATGGTCGATTTCTTAACTACTGTTTCTGATTAATCGTTCCTGCACTTGTTGACCTCGGGAGTCCTGTGCGGGGCCGATCGTTAACATGTTGTGTCTGCAGAAACATGTTCCAAAATCTGCAAATCACAGTCACATTGAACATATTGGGTACCTCTCGCTAAGATCTACCAGTTTGAACTGTGTCAATAGCCCTGTAGACAAAGCATTCCCAATCTGATCACAATACACTGCATGAAAGAACGAGTAGAGAGCTTACGTGTTATTGTGGATACTGAAAATCAACAATACAAATGGCTAAGAGTGATTTTACGACGTTCCAAAATCAAGGCTGATCCCCTCGTATGTCTAGTATTAATAATGCTACGATTAAAGTACCGATACATCATTATTTATTATTATGGGCTTTGATGTGGTAATATAATGTCGAATAATATCGGAACTTGTGAACTTTATATACATTACAGCTGTCACACATACAACAGTTGCTTGTCAAAATTGTGTTATGGGTCAGTGACCGCCATGAACTGAAAATATAGATTGATGTTAGCTGGTGGATACATAGTGCATACAGTTTTGTGCCAAGATGAGAAAGTAATTTTACCTGCTCCTCCGCCTCCACCGCCGCAGCTGATGCATATATCTATTCCTGAAATAAGACGTCATTCACGTGTTATTCACTGTATTCAATGACTACGTCAACATTACACAATAATGTGACTGATAAGAAATGTGATCCCTATGTTAAAGGTAGTTCTACTGTTCGTATAACATGTATAACATACATCACCATGTTTCGACATAGCAATAATCAAGCATGCTGAAATTGAAGGTCATGGACATTACGTCAGAAGTGCATATTCCACTAACCTCTTTGAGTTCATCTTGGTGTGATGAACAAGTTCTTATGGATAAACAACATCTTTAGCTTTCCAGCGCTTTGTAAACGTTGAGTTACATTATTATTTTTAATTTTATTAAAGGACATTTATGACTAATAAATATATGTATACATGAACATTGGCGATCTGCGAGAAATTCACAATTTGTCTATTTTCCGCTACAAATTACTCCATTAAAATATGAAACCAAGTCCTCAGTTAATGGAGCCAATCGGAAGATTTACTGTATTTTTTTGGTCATGGCATAATTTATTTCATTATTCAGTTGGGTGTAGCATTTACCAAAAGAATGTCGAATGAACAAAATATAAACTGTTTGGGACGAGACATTGACAGTCTTTCTAACCATCGAACTGCCAACATCAGTGTATTGAGTCTGTTTCCGGCATCCCAAAGACGTCGATGTTCACAAAAAAAGGACGAAGACAAAATTATGCCATTCAGTTAGACGATTTGTTGCCTCTCCTTCACGAACCACTGCTACTGCACAATGTAAAGTACATGACTATACTCTGTTTCAGACACCAGCAACTGATGGGTGGGTTTACAAACAGCAAGAGCCCACAGAGAGCTTAGTTCTTGATCTCGCTTTGAAACGTTTGGCCAAACCAGAAAAGGAAACCACTGAATCAGACAAAGACCGCATGTTCTTTATTTTGAAATTTGCAAACAAGGGAAAGGATGCCTTAAATTTAAGTTAATTTCTCAGACAACAATTAATTTCCCAAAACGTCCCACAATATTTCAAATTTCAGTAACCACCAACAATTTTACTTTCCTATACGAACACCATTTCATCCAGGTTTTTCAATTATAGGAGCTGTTGTTTTACGCCGCATTCAGCAATATTTCAGCTATATGACGGTGGTCTGTAAATAATCGAGTCTGGACCAGACAATCCTGTGAATGATCGCATGAGCATCGATCCATGCACTTAGGATACGATGACCAACCAAGTCAGCGAGCCTGTCCATCCGATCCCGTTATAGGAACGTGTTGCAGAACGTGGACTTGGCAGCTCATGATGTAAATTCCACTACTTGTAGCTGCCGAGACTCATCATACTGCTATCAACCTGCAGATCATATAATCACAGGTGACTTATCTAGTTTTGACAATAACAACCATCATCAGTTATTTAAATATGGACCAAAATATCGTGAGCAACCTCCCACCAATTTGAATCACAAGTTTAAAATCACAAGTTTATGAATGCTGTCGAAGCATATGCCAAAAATGGCCAAACGAGAAGAGGAACCTGTTGTATATGTTTCAGAGTGGGTAAAGTCAGTGCGTGATGTCGTCATTGGTAGAAAGAACAAACATAAAAAGTGGAGACGGATTTGGAATTAACCCATTCTGCCCCAGCATGCTGTCATCCAAAGCATGGCTGCCCTACCTAAAAAGGAAGTTGTTGTTCCCATTGACAAGGCCTCAAATAACACAACTATAATATGTAAGTATCACTACAATAATTGTTTGACTAAAGAACTTGGTATAAGTGACATAAACAATGATGCCACATATAAAGCCAGTACGTTAACCGAGGTAGATGTCTGCCAAATCCAGGCATCAGTACTATCAACTTTTGACATGTTCATTCCTCTTTTGTACTGGATTCCAAAGCTATGTTCCTATAATTATTTCCAATTACTTTAAGCCATTCTAAGATTTCTAACATTCGCCATCTGAACATTGTTTTGCAAAACAAAATGCATCGTCGGCATAACGTAATTCAAGTTTAAGCAAACTTATATTCATTATTGCAGCTTTATATATAACCAAGTATTAAGTATATTATGTCTATTATTCACCAAGGCGTCTAATACACCTACGCCGCCTGTTCATTAACCTCTTTTAGAAACTAAACCATAAACATAGACTTAATGCAGTCACAAAGTCTTGAGGTTTATAATTTGAACATTGAACATTTCGGGTTTGTTTGGTAGCTAAAGCAATATAAACGTGTGGGTAGGTGTTGATAGCCGCTGTCAACACTCAGCATTTCCGACATTTACGGAACATGTGGTACAAACACTCAGGTCCTCAGTTTGCATGAATCAGATGAACCGAGGACCAAAATTGGGGTGAGTCTAGAACTCATACACAATCAGTGTATTCACCACTGCGAACTGCGTTCTCATACACTACTCCCGATTCGAAGACAATTGATAACTGATACGGCACGATTTCTGAAATAATGATGTAAATATTCTGATCTCATGTTGACTGGTGATGTTTCTGCAGTAGCTGATACCACATTACACTTAAAAAACCCAGATTGTTGGTTTGGAAAGTTTTTGTGAATTAACTGGTATGAAGGTAAATGTTAAAAAGACAAAGTTTCTAGTGTTTCTAACAGTGGACCACTGCAACACAATGAGAATTGGTATCTCCATTGTCAGAAGCTTTAGGTGGTGTCATTTTGTAGATATTAAGGTTTGGTATTTACACCCAGACTATTTGGACTAAATCACGATCCTGCCTTGCATCACAAGCACATAGAGCCCTTATGGCAGTATACGGATATCAAAAGAGAGCAGGTGATATTAATTGTACTGATCTTTCATAGTTTTTGATGCAGTGGTTACACCAATATTGTGCTATGGTCAGACATTTGGGGAACAATATATTCTATAACAGCTAAAAATATTCAGATAAAAATGTGCAAATATTTTCTGAACGTTAGTAAAACTACATACAGTATTGTGGTACTGGTAGAGCTCCAGTTGTCAGAGGGGTCCACAAAGTACGTGGTCTAGACTACCAGTTGTCGGACTTTCATTTTGCGGAAGCCTAGGTGACTGAGTGGGTTAGAACGCTGATTTTGTGTGCTGGCGATTAGGTGCCTCACTCTGGCAGTGTAGGATGGATATTATTATCATCATCATCATCATCATCATCATCATCATCATCATGATTTCGGAGCCTGTGAACACTCCCAAACACTGCAGCCTTCTGCATTACCCAGATTGTCAGAAGGGCTGTATTCCTGGTAGCAAACCCGGATACTCTCCCAGTGTCAGTCAACAGACTAAGGCACCGAGAACAACAAACCTAAGGCACCGAGAACATTATTATTATTATTATTATTATTATTATTATTATTATTATTATTGTGATGATGATGTACAGACTAAAGTAAAAAATGCAGCAAAGAGGGTTTGGGTGATCCTGGCACAGTCAGACTGGTTAGGCTCATCATCAGTTCAGGGCCCTTGCCCCTTCTACACGCGGCCCAGACAATGAATGGGACTTGGGAGGTACCAAACCTAATGCACCGAGAACAACAAACTTAAGGCACCGAGAACATTATTATTATTATTATTATTATTATTATTATTATTATTATTATTATTATTATTATTATTATCATGATCATTATATAGCGAAAGCTGCAACTAAAGTATGGGGTATTTTTTAACCAAGTCACCGGTAGAAATGGGAGGAAATGTGTGTGCAGCTGATTGCCATCTCCGGCTTAGTTTACAAGACAAATACACACGATAATATTAATATCTGCACAGAAACCTATGACCAGAAGAACAGGAAATAGAACTGAAATGGTAAATCATCATATCCAGTGATATTTTTCGCAAATTTCACACCTTCATTGGCCAAGTTTGTTATCGTCTGTTCGTTGCCCTTAAGCTGAAAGATGTACTTTTTGTACCGTGCTTAATACTCACACTATCTGTTTAATCTCAGCATGTGGGGATTAACGAAGGGAATTAACTCTCGACATTCAAGCATTGCGTAAGGTTGTTTACAAGACTAAGCAAGGTTTTAGGTCAGAGCAACTGCGCATGTGTTGTGCATCCTGACCGCTGTCAGGAGAAAAAAAGAAGTATCAATTACACCTATAGGCACGGTAGTGATAATGACAATCGACTGTTGATGCATGTACCTCGGTATGAGGTCTCTGATTGAACATATTATTAGAGGAGGTTTATTGTTATTTGATAAGCTCTGATTGACCAATCAGAATCGCGTAATCTCCATATTTCTATATCCATAATTCTAAAACACATTATAAACAGTAACTGTTGCTGGGGCTATCTGGACATGGAGTGAAAGGTCTGCTTCTGTTTAAGCAAGTGCATGCAAACACCTTTTTAGTTCTCACAGAGAAGTTCAGCATAAGATGTCATTAACATTTTACCATGACAATTATCGACTGCACTCTTAAATCATTTGATAATACAATATCATGCATCCATTCTACAATATCATGCATCCATTCTACTCACCACATACTAGTACAAGGAGACATTGTAAGTACATCCTGGGGATGTTCTTTTCTGAAACATAAAGGAGGTTTGTAAAGGTAACAGAACATTGACCTGTATCTAAAAACAGTACTACTGGCTAGAGGCTAGATATATCGTCCACACGTGGTCGCAATTGCCTTTTCGTTTGCCCGTCTTCATTCCACTAGTTTGGAAAGAGAAGAAATACACCTATTACCTTGCTAGAAAATACTCTCAGAAAAGACACACAGTCACTCACATTTAAACATTTAGCTCAGCCCAAGTATGCCTAGTTTTCTACAACATGTCACAATCATTATTAACAACATGGGTTCCTGACAACACTTGCAAATACTGAAACTATAAACTGTTTAAATGCCACCGATGTAATACACCCAAACCAGAAAAAATCTACACAAGGAACGTTCACCTGTCCCAGTGGTTGCTGTTATTATCTGGAATGTGGAGTTGTGTATCTGGAATGGTAGAGGTTCATTATATCATTTGGCAACCAGTATCAAATTTCGTTTCCAAGAATTGCATGCCGGACAAACAACATCTGGCTGTGGTTAGACTGATTAGATGATATGTCCATTTAACACTGATGATAACATGAAGCATCATATTTCACATGCTACAAGAACTTGTTTGAAGTTATGGGTATTAATATCATGTTGTTTGTATTTGATTCTTTTCCTCGGAAATAGTGTAAATGATTATTTTAAAAAACTTTCTACAATCGTAAGAAACCCCTGCTAACCGCTATTCATAAACCCACACTTGAAACGTGATAAATAGATAATCTGAGGCCATTTAGGGGGAAATGATAATTTGTGTGTCATGCATGTACATATCAGCGAATATAAACATTTGTTAATGAATCCCTTATTTATTGATTATTATACCCCCGACCTTTAACGGCAGGGTATATAGTTATACCAAGGAATTCCGTCCGTCCTTCCGAGGACATTTTGTGTGTGACCTATAACTTGAAAACTACTTCATAGATTATTTTCACTTTGATGAAAACTTTATACCTATAGGAAAGGTGAGGTGCGACGTTTGATTCAATATTTGGATTTTCTTAAATAAATACAGATTTTTTCATTTTCTTTTACAATATGACGTTTTTGAAGTTTTGAATATTTTTTTACTTCAATATTTGTTCGACGTATAACTTCATGGTTTCTTTTCAATTGTCACCCGAGAAGATCCGGGTTAGAATAGATCTTCAGCAACCCATGCTTGCAGTGAAAGGCGACAATGCTTGTCGTAAGACGCGACTAACGGGATCGGGCGGTCAGGCTCAGTGACTTGATTAATGCATGTCATCGTATCCCAAATGTGTGGAGCGATGCTCACTCACTGGATTGTCTGGTCCAGACTCGATTATTTACAGACCGCAGTCAGATAGCTAAAATATTGCTGAGTGCGGCGTTAAACAACAGGTATACATACACGCATACATGCATACATGCTTTTCAATTGGGGGTACAGTTTCTACAGCGATAGGAGAGAAGCTGTACATGTGCAAAGGTTGATTGCGATAATTGGATTTTCTGAGAGAATATTGCTTTTTCCATGATTTGAACTTAGAAATATGTTGGGAGTCGAAGTTGGGGGTATGAGTGAACCCTACTCACTTTTTTTTCTTGTTTAGGATTAGTTGTTGTATCAACGCAGAAAAAACACACTGGCTACGTAAAGTTTGATACTGTTAAAAGATACAACCGGCTAAATCCTTCCTTTTTAGAATATGAGAATCACAAACAAAAAAGTTTTGAACATGCTTAATATAGCTCTATGTTAGACTTAGTATGTATACAAAAGAAGTAAGTAGGGCATAGTTTGTTTTGAGATGAAAATTAAGGAAAATAAACCAATGGCTTGCAATGAAAGTGAGTGATTTATGTGGCAAGAACATTTCCGAAGAAATCACCCTCCCAAACAAGTAAGTGTGATGCAAGGCAGGATCGTGATTTAGTCCAAATAGTCTGGGTGTAAATACTGAACCTTAATATCTATAAAATGACACCACCTAAAGCTTCTGACAATGGAGATACCAATTCTCATTGTGTTGCAGTGGTCCACTGTTAGAAACACTAGAAACTTTGTCTTTTTAACATTTACCTTCATACCAGTTAATTCACAAAAACTTTCCAAACCAACAATCTGTTTTTTTAAGTGTAATGTGGTATCAGCTACTGCAGAAACATCACCAGTCAACATGAGATCAGGTTATTTACATCATTATTTCAGAAATCGTGCCGTGTGTTACTTAACCATTTGTAGGATATCGGTATAATCAGTCTAACTTGGAGCTAACTTAAGCCTGTGCAATAGAGTTTGTTTATGCTCCTCGTGTTATATTTAGAAAGGTGCAGTCGGTTACATCCAGTAACAGTGCAAGGCTTTACATGGATATGTTCTAAAAAGGTTTTTTTCTGCATGGTTAACATACCCAGGTATGTCTCAAAGGTCAACTGAGAAAGCCCACGTGACAACTATTTTTATAATGTCCACAGTTCTTTAAAAAACATAGAGTTAGATAACAATGAACAATCAATCACCGTATTATCGGCTAATCCTTTGAACAAAGTATGTTGTTTTTACAGTGGCACTTCACGCCCAGATATTGGTGTATTCCGTCGGCTTTAGTAAACATACACATGCAAACACTTACTTTTGACAAATCCATTGTGCAAGATAACATTGATATATCAATCAACGTATTTTCTGTTGATCCTTTGATGGCGAGGAATGATTAGTTGATTTACAAAAAAGTATATCAAATGATCAGTCCTCTTGCTTGGCTGCCAGTGCACGTTACATAACATACAGTTCACACCACTTCAAACCTGGATTCAGATTAAATAATTACCCCAGACACAAACAATGCCAAATGGGAACCTTTATCAGGTAATCTAAGTGGTGCTACCACGAATTATACCTGTAATAACTTCGTTGTCTGAGCTTCAAGTGGATGACAGCAAAAACACAGGTGTAGGTTATGCCAGGAACCATAGATGCCAACAAGAGATAGCAATCGTATTATCGGCGCAATCCGAAATCCGAAAACGTTTTCACTGCCGGGATACTTTATATTATTTTTATTTTACTATAACCATCCGGGGTATTTCCTAATAACGACATCCGAAGAGCTTTATCAAGCTCCCAAACACAACAACGTGAGTGAGTAAGTGTGAGTGAGTTAATATTTAACGTCACATCGGCAGTATTTCAGATTCAAATTACGAAAATACTACGTTTAAAAGTCTGTCATGCATAGAAATACTTTGAATGACGTGGAACTTACATACCCTATTAGGGGGACAATAATTATACGCTTCTGCAACCCCCCTCGAGGGTACAGCCACTAACAATCTAAGTTATTAATTAGCACTACCAATATATAAAATAACACATCATGTACATCAAAATTTATGAATTAATTCTATTTCCTTTAGAAAGCACAATATTAAATAGAATGTACATGACTAAAAAGGTCCTTGACTGTTTTTACACTATAATATTTATCCCTTGTGATTGAAAAATCAATACAGTCAAGCAGAACATGAAATGTAGAGTATATGTTTCTAACTATTACGACAGACATGGGTTGCTGAAGATCTATTCTAACCCAGATCGTCATGTGTCCCACCCTCTAATTATCATGTGACGAAGGTATTTGACTCGGGAGTCCCCGTTCCTATTTTCACACGACATTCACCTAAAAAGTTCATAGAACAGGGGAGACAACAAGCGCGTCAATTATTCCGTGCCTGAACCAAAGAACTGGTTGGAGATTAAGAATAGATTGTTTCCTGGATACATCGTTGGATCGCACGCAATAAAAAAATCATTTAGACCGAATGCCCACATAAGTCTTTAATAATGGGGAATTACAAGCCAACGAAGGAAGAACTTGAAAAAGCTATCGAAGCATTTATGCTCCGGGACAAAATTATCAAATGGCGAGATTTGCGACAATTTATATATTATATCATTGATGTTAAACCATCCAAATACGGTTATCAATTGTTTCTTTCCAATTTCAAAGAAGAGTATACATTCTCCTAGTAAAATGAACGAAAAAATTAGTAAAAATGTTGAATATCACTTTGTTCAAAATAATGGTATGCGTATGAGTAAAAATAATAGAGAATATTTTCATTACAATTTAGTTCAGAGTTATGACGATCGTTGAATCGCAAGGTGGTTTTTGCATAAAAATTACCCCTGTATTATAGGTATTGGGGTATAAATCTGGCTCCAGTGGAGCTGCGGTAGAACCTCCATTACCTATACTACTCTACACCAAGGAGGCCACATGCCGATCACATCCATGAGTCCAGGCCAGGAACTGACACAAGTAATTGACGGGACAAATTATGTTATGTAAGGCCAGGAACAGATACACACGTAATTGAAAGGGCAAGTGATGTGACGTAAGACCAGGAAAAGATACACAGGTACTTGACGGGGCGAGTGATGTAACGTTAAATCTGGAACCGACCTCTCGGTTTTTGACAGGATTATCTACAGTCCAAGTGCTTCGGTACTATGACACACGCACGCACGCACGCACGCACGCACGCACGCACGCAACCATCCCGATCCTATTGCGTCACCCGACCCCAGCTCCCACCAGTTGGCAATGCGAGCATGTTTAAAGAAATTTAAAAGATTCATTAAGTCTTATAATCCAAATTTTATGAAACACGACATGCTTGCTTTTACTGAATACGCTATACACACAGTCCAAGTGCTTCGGTACGATGACACACGCACGCACGCAACCATAATCCAGATCCTATTGCGACTACCCGACCCCAGCTCCCACCAGTTAGCAATGCGAGCATGGTTAAAGAAATTTAAAAGATTCATTAAGTCTTATAATCCAAATTTTATGATACGCGACACGCTTGCTTTTACTGAATACGCTAAACACACAAATATAATACCCAAGCTGCACACACAGCGTCATGACAACGTTTGGCCCTTGGCACACGATAGACAGATACTTTTATAGACCATGACGTGCATCCCAAAAATACTTTTTTACAATGTGGAGTGAACGGGGTTCCGGGTTTACGCTAATTGTTTGCATCATATCTATATCATGTAACATCATATCTATGTGATGTAGCAAGTATTTAAAGATAACTCCATACATTGGTATTGTTCCTGACGTCAATGCATGGAGGTTTAAGATGACGTCGTTCCAATAACAAACCCACAAACCAAGTGTCTCTACTTGTGATAGGAAACAGATATAGTTGTACATGTACTATTCCCGGGAAATCTATTTTGGAACAATTGTTCAAATTATTATTTTTGTTGCATTTCACTTGTTAACGGTAGCGTAACACGTTATTTGTTTTTCGTGTGGTGCTCCCCTAGTCCGGCACTGGGCACTGATCTACAGCAATTCCGTGGGACTGGTTGTTGCCTTTGTTATTGTTTTTCCCCCGTGAGTACCCGGATGA